CCCTAATACTCACTGGGTACACGTTCCATTCAATCTATCTTTAAAAAAAAAACCTGCATGTTTTTAGGTTTAATTTTAACGCCAGACTTGAAGAGCGGGGAAGATGTGTGATGGCAAGCTGAGAGGAAAGGGAGAGGGGAGGGGGGAGGGTTGTTGGAATGAGGAAATAATGTTTGCTCACTCACCTAAAAGTAGAAGTTTTATATCCTTGGCTGCTTGCATGCCATCTTCTTTCAAGTTTTTCTCGATGGCCTTGCTCCGCTCCATGGCGGCCCGTTCCTCGGCGCTCAAAGTACAACCCATGGCTATGATGGCGAATGTTGCGACCGAGAGACCGGCACGACGCACCTGCCCGACTCCTTGTCTAGCCCTCCGCTAGCGCCGTGGTTACCACTACCACGCTAGCAGATCAAACTGTGAAAAAACAAACAACTGACCCCCGGGGCGAACGTTGACCCAAACTCAAAAATCCCGATCATAAAAAAAATATCCAAGAAGGACGAAAAACTGACCAAGCCACAATACACCGCACACAAGAAATACGGTCGCCGCCCCGAACAAGCTTCAGACCTGCTAAATATGTCGGTGTCTTGCTCTGCATAAAAAGCAAGCTCTCGGGCAGCGCGAGAACTCACGAGATGTCGCAGCGGTCTAAGCTCAGTAGAACTCCGCGAGCGTCTTCCAGCGGGAGCGGCCTCAACACATTGCGAGTAGTGCAAGCACGGTATCCGCTTTTCGAATCACCCCAGCATAGTACACAGGAATAAAAACATTTAACAAAACCTTGCGATATCTTGCACGTATAAGATTATCTATGTTGTTTATTTTTTCATACGAAACTGAATCGCCCTCAACCCAGTTTGTGGAATCGAGGTTCGGTTCGTGGAGCGATGAGAGAACGAGTGGCCGGCGCACTTTCACAGCAGCGCTACCGTAGGCAAATCTATATAAAAATACTAACGCCAACTTGGAATCGACCAAGCCTGTTTTCTGGGGTTTGCGTGACGTCACTTAACGCAGGGGCTCTTCTGAAATTATTCTTCAACTTGCACAAGAAATTATGAAAATTAAGGCTATTTTATATAAACATGGATATACCCTGCCCCGTCCTACCCTCTTGCTTGACTTCTAACCGTCCCTGTTGTTTTACTAGTTGGTTTTCTCTGGGCAGCCTGAATACGTGCGCGAGCCCGCCATTGTAGGGTGAGCGCATACATCATCATAATGAGTGCCGGTGAGCGATCGATGCATCAGTGTACCCTCAGGTAGGGAAGCCACGATAAATGCGAAATCGTGCGCGCGTGTGCTAGTCAGATGTGAGTTATCGGTCTTGTGAGTCTGCAGTAAAAAAACATTTCTAAACGAAAAGCAACAATCGTAGAACAATTCAAAATCCCATTACGACTGTTTAAAGTATCGATTCTATTTTTATGATAATTAGTTGGGAAAAAATTACGTTTATTAGTTCAACTTTATATTTTTATATAAACACAGTACATTTTATAATACAATTTATAAATGATGAGAACATTGTTTCTATTATATGGAATGCTTTTTTTCCTCCCTGTAAAAATCGAAACTATAGATGTATTTTAAAAATGTAAGTGTTGGCTTTATTTTTTTAATCAAAACGCCGGCCGTAATTTAACCATTATTATTTATTTTGTATTTAAAAAAAAAAAAAAAAAACCCACTATATTTGGTACCAAATTTAAAACTAGCGATCTTAAAATATAAGGATTTCTCTAACTCACAGACAGTGTTTCTTTCAGACTTTTTTCTTAGTGAAGAGGGGGTGGGGCACTTGAAACTCTTGGGGGCATGGACTACATTTTCCGGGGGGGGGGGGGGCACCGAGGGACACTGGTAAAAGTATACATTTTCTTTATTAATTCTTATTCGTTCAGGGGGGGGGGGGGGAAAGACGGTAGATGTGCTTAAGAAGGGGGTTTGCACCCCCCCCCCCCCCCCGCGTAAAGATGCCTGACAGAAACAGTGCTCACAGACCACCTATAATAATGATAAATCAAAATATCCACCCACTGTGTGATCTCACATTGCCTCACATTATCTCGTTAAATAAAAATCCCCCTCCCCCCCCCCCCCCCGCGAAAATAAAGTGACGTCACAAAGTTTATCTTCATCCCTCTAGCTTAGGGGAGGGCGAGGGTGGATAACATGATAATTATTTTGGCAGTATAAGATTGCTGTCCTAATGCTCTTTGTTGTGAAGTAACGGTTCGTCACGCAGCTTTAGAATATTTACCCCGACCCACAAACCGTCACATCGTCACAAAAAGCTAGATCCCGCCCCCTACTACACGCCGTTAAACTGACATCACCGTCCCTTCACCCCTACTCTTAAATAAACCATTAAACTAATTTCAGCTATATACGTGAACCATCTATTTAAGAAAAGTCCCAGAGTCCACCCAGCTCTGATGGGTACCTAACTCAAGTTAGGGACAATTACGGCAGCTGGGCATAGTGCTGACCATACTATCCATTCATATACCGAGGTCATTAAACAGATGAACTCTACTTCATCTGCCCCATGTTGTGTGGGCATGAAAGGAAAAGATGATGAATGCCAATATTAGACTTTATTAGTTAAACTATAATGGGTAGGGTTGGGAAGGGGGCAGGCAATAGATGTATTATATTACATTTCTGCTTTTACTGAATGGAGTGAATTGTATAGGACGGCATGGTCGAATGTTATAGCGCACGACTGCTAACATGGACGTTTTTAGCTCGCATCCCGATCTCGAATACGTAGAACGCCCCGTGAGTTCACCCAGCTCTAATGAGTACCTGACTCACTTTAAGCAAAGTAAAGGCGGCTGATCATACTATTACTTCATACTTCGAGGTCACAGAAACACTAGGTTAACTCTGCTTCATCCGCCCCATATACCACCTCGTCCGAAAAGGATAACGAGCTATATAGAGTGGAGGGGTGGGTTAAACGTGTCCAGTTTTTGTGTCACATAATAGATGCTCGCTCCCTGACAAGTTTAATGATTCACACACGTGACCAAACTACCAGAAGTTAGCACTGGAGAGAGTTTTAGAAAACACGTAGATCTAATCGGGCTGAACAGTTCTCATGCTAAAAAATATGTTTACAATCGATGCTCTACAATAAAGCTCAACACACTCAAGAAGTAACTACTGGGGTTGGGGGTTGCTGTAAGAATGATTTCGCATCGTTTTTTTTTTTAAAAATACATTTGAGCTAGTTTGCCAGTTGATAAAGAACAGAGTTTCTGCCCGGCATCTCTACCGCCCCCCCCCCCACGAACGAAATGGAAATTATATAGAAAATATATACTTTTACCAGTGCCCCCCCCCCCCCCCCCCCCCACGGAAAATGTTGAACTCCCCCCCCCCCCCCCCCCCGAAAATATCAAAGTCTGGAAGAAACACTGATAAAGAGAAGAGACCTGATCCATGTTTCTTTCAGTCATATCTTCGGCGGGGCACTGCCTCTCCCTCGAAGCACGTCCACTGCCCCGCACCCGAACAGAGTACACTTTTTATAGAAAATATATACTTTTACCCCCCCTCCCCCCCCCCCCTACCCCATAACATCCCCAGGAAAAAATCTCGGTGGGCCCCCTGGAACGATACTGCAATGGTCCTATTAGTGTTTTAATTGTTTTTAAGTTGTTGTTATTTTAACATAAGTTCATGCCAAGTCTTAAAACGTACACTTGGAATCATTGATGGAGAAAAAAAACGCCCGACAAAAAATTTTCTGTTTGTGCTGTTTTCGTATTTTTCCGTAGAAAAGTAAAGACAACCGGACACTAGGATTGCCAAATGACAGTTTTATGATCATATGCCGCCATTTAAGGAGGATGAACTCGGTCCGTCTACTCAGAGGCGTAGCGAGGGGGGGTGCGGACCGCACCGGGTGACACCATTTAGGGGGTGACACCACGGCAAAAAATAGCAATATATAGAGAAAAATTTGAGGGGGGGGGTGCAAATCGAAAGTTTGAGGGGGGGTGCAAATCAAAAGTTTGAGGGGAGGGGGTGCAAATCGAAAATTGAAAGTTTGTCCCCGAGAAGGGTCGCTACGCCTCTGGGGGTTGACACCAGTAAGTGCCGCACCAGGTGACACCCGACCTCGCTACGCCACTGCGATTTTACTGCCTGCAAACGTTTAATGTTAAGGGTCGTTCATAAATAATGAATACAAATGGTAGATCCAGTGAGATTAATGCAATTAGTAATAAAATTGCGTTAGTTAGGGGTCGTCCATAAATGACGTCACACTCGGGAGGGAGGGGGGTCCGTAAATTTGTGACGGTGTGTGATGAGGGGGGGGGGGTCAGATTTTTTGTACAATAAATGATGGGCCACTTATATGTGTTGGTAAGAGGTGACGATGTTGGCGAGCGAAAGGCAGGGGTTCAGAAAGCTTGACGTACTTTTGCGCTGCAAGAAGTAATTTATATTTTAAACAGAACTTTGATAAAAATTGATAATACACCCAAACTTGATCCAGTTCGTAAATATTTTTTTTTTAAATTTCGGTTTTGAAAAAGAAAAATTGGAATTCGGAGAGCGGTAAGCTTCTGTTGGGGGTTAACATAAGTCAAATAAACTCTCGAATAATTGATTATTTTGATTTTCTGTCATTGTTTGTGAATGTATCAGGTGACAAGAATGCAAACAGTAACAGTGATTTAGCAACGGACAAGACTATCATTTGTTTGTGTACAAAATTTCAAATAATTAGCAAATTACTGCTCATTAAAAAATATAAAATAGGTCTAATTAATGGATAAGCATAGTTGTCTTGATACATCTAGTCTAGAGTCTAGATCTCTATACATATAGATTCTAGATCTAGATCTAATTCATATTTTTGAATGTTTATTTCACAGGCCTTGTCAACACAATTTTTTGTCAACAGCTGCTGCTGTTGCTGACTTGAGATCTATACTCTACGAGGATTTTTAAAAATCTGGCTAAGCCAAGATCTTTACGATTGTTATTATCAAAACAATGGCCGGACGATGGAGCACAGAGCTTGCAGTGACAGAATTCAAAGATATTCAGGTTAATTTTAGTTCATTTATGATGTATTTCAGGGTTTAATTAAATGATCAATCATGCGCCTCTTATAAATATTACCCTGTTGCTTCTTCTGTAGCCTATATTCTAACATTAGTTAAGTTTTATTATGGGCCTCAAGAATCTCACAACTCCTGCTCGTAAGTCGTAAACAAACAGAACTGAGAACTCAGTCGCACTCGTCCCGTGGGCCTCAAGTTATTCTGTTGTCTTGGATAATGATTGAGGATATAAAGATAGATATAAAGATGTCACTGATCATTATCTAGATCTTCATTCAGTTTGATAATTGATCAAATAAACTTTTTAGTGTTGGGCCTGTATTAATTAATAATTTATTTAAATTTTAAATCATATATTATTAGCCTAACGGCCTAACATATTTAATTAATTATTAATAGATCTAGCCTAGAATTAAATGTAAAATAAATAGACATAGAGTCTATTAAACTACTAAACCCTACTTTAAAAGTTTTCAGCTTTAAATAAAAATGATAAATTGCCCAACCCAAAGCCAAAGGGAATCATGAATCAAGGGAGGTTTTTTTTCTATAGTTAGGCCTCTAGCTTGTGTTAATGATTAAATCACATGATTCATTTATTTATTTCTACAGGCCAGTGCTATGGCCGTGGATTGCATTGGTCAATGGGCTCTGTTGGCTGGGTAGGTATAACTTTGACAGTAAATGTTTGGTGTCTTGTTAACTAAGGTTTATCAATAAAATGATGACTTGTCATTTTTAATTCTTTTTTTTTTTCTTCTGTAACTTAGTTAAAAGTTTTGCTTTTTATGTTTATTATTTGTAATGTGTCCCTTTTTGTTAATCTTCTACAATTGTTCTGCTATACAGGCGAAAGAATCTGGCATTTGTAGATCTAACCAAGACACCTCATACCTCAGTCAAAGTCACTAGACAGAGCAAATGGGACATCAGTTGTGTTCAGTGGAATGGTCATGCATCACACGCCTACAGATTTGTTACTGCAGTATGTTACAGCTTCTTTAATAATTTTACAAAATACTAAACATCAGCGGTAGCCTTTTGCTTAGATCATCTACTATAAATAAATGTATATACACACATAGAAACATAAAAACATAAGACTTAATATTTTATTTTAAGTGCAACCAGAGGCTTGATGTTTTTGATTTTCGTGATGGGTCTGCATCACATTGCTGCTCATTAAAGGCACATTCTAGAAATATTAGGTAGGTAAAGGTTGATCTGCTGTTTCATTATTCATGAAATTATACCTTTTTTTACAATATCATGGTATAAAATTTGTTTGTTAACTAACAGGTAAAATTTGATAATGGTAAAGAAAATAATTTTTTAAATAAATATATGTACTCATTAGAACTTACATTTCTGTATTCCAGTGATGTTGATTGGTCACCATTTGATGTTAACATTGTTGCTTCCTGTTCTGTAGACACATACACATATTTTTGGGATGTCAGGTATAATGTGAATTACTCCTTCATTATGTTTACAAACATAATTTTCTATCTATCATTACTCATATTTGTTTGATAAGGTTGTTTTGTACTTGTGTAATGAGTGTGGGGGAAAAAATCTGTGGCATATCTTACAATACAACAGGATTAGGAATTTTTATTTTTTTTACATTATTTTCTTCTTCCATCTGTAGTTGGCAGTTTAATTATTTTCTGAAATAAAACTAATAATCATTTCATTATTTTTTGTAGAGATTCCAAGAAACCTGTCAAATCATTTCAGTCAGTTTGTAAGTTTTTCCTTCAAATTTGTTAGATGGTGTAATAAATTTGCTTAAAACAAGTAGATATACCATTCAATCACCAATGCTTTCTGAAGGAAGTAATTTCAATTTAGCTTAATCTTTGAACATAAAAACAAACACTTTGTGCAGTTTTTAAGATACAAACCTTTGTTTGTATTTTAAAACTTTTCTAACATGTTGAGTGTCTATCATGTCAAGATTACTTTTAAATTCATTGTAACTTTCCTTAGCAGGCGCATATCAAGTCAAGTGGAACAAAGTTACAAATAATCTCTTTGCTACAACACATGATGGAGATGTTCGCATTTGGGACCCAAGAGTATTACTTTTTTTTTTATGCTTTAAGTTGTTGGGCATAGTTTATTTTTATGTCTACTTGGAAAACTTTTTAAAACTGCTTTATTTATTATATTTTCAAAAGGAATTAATTTTACATTAAAGGTCATTTTTATGAGTATTTTTTAGAATGTGTAATTATTACATTTAAGATATTTTAAAACTGTGATTGCAGAAAGGGAATGCACCCCTGCAGTATATCTCTGCACATCCGTCCAAAATCCATGGCTTAGACTGGAGCAACACTGACCAGCATAAGCTAACCACAGCTAGTCAAGATTGTAGCATAAGGGTAAGTTTTCTCTTGTACTGTCACAAGTTTAATGCATTATTTACTGTAGATTCAAAATTGAAATGTCATGTTCGCTATTGAGCAATTTTTTTTAGAGAACTTATATTGTGTAGCAGTTTTTTTAAAAATAAATCTAGTTTGGAGGGTGGAATTGGAGAGGCAATAGAAATTAACTCAGCTGAAAAATGATAATTGGGAGAAAATTGAGATGTTAATCTGTTTAATCCACCAGAGTGTAAAGCCGCTGGTAAAATTGTTGTCAGACTTCATTATTGCTAAATAGTTTAATTAAGGATTTTCAACAATGTACAACAATTTTTCAGGTTTGGGATTATAATAATCCAAGAAAATGTGAGGCTATGATCAACTCTGAAAATCCAGTTTGGCGAGCGAGATACACAGTAGGTGGCTTAAGTTTTCACTATACAGTTTCAAATACCTCAACAATTCTTCTGTCTCTGAATATGTGTAATTTTATTTGTTGATTGTGTTGTGTTTTGGTTAAATCATGTATGTAATATTTTTTTTACTTTTTCAGATGATTATAATATCTGGCATCAATCCTTTTTTTGTTTCATTTAAATATATATGTATAATTTTATTTATTGACTTTATTGTTTTAGATAAATATAGGGGTGTGCAATTTTTGTTGTTGTGGATTTTTTCAGCCATTTGGTGAAGGAATAGTGAGTGTTGTTGTGCCCCAGTTGAGGAGGGGAGATAACAACTTGTACCTTTGGCACATACGGAATCAATCTGCTCCCGTCCACACATTTGTTGGTCATAAAGATGTCATCTTAGAATTTCAGTGGAAGAAGCAACAAACTGGTCAGTTACTCTATATACTCTTAGATAATATTATCGGTCAGTAGTTTTAATTTGTTTATAAGATATGTCGATTCATGAATGGAATGGCAACTGTAAGTTGTGTGGGAAGATTTCACTTCTCAGTTATGCACTAATAAGATAATTTTAATCATGCAAGAAGGCGTTATTTAATTTAAGTAGTGAAAGTTTATATAAAATAGAACACATAAAATGTGAATAATTGTAATTAAACGTGAATACATTTTAAATTGTGAGATGTTGAAATCAATAGGTGCCAGGGATCAACAGCTAGTTACATGGTCAAAAGATCAAAGTTTGAGGATTTGGAAAGTAGATCCAACTATGCAAAAGGTAAATTTAAAGCCACATAGTTTTTTAAGTTTAATTTAAAACATATTTTGTCATAATTTATTTTTTTCACAGCTAAATGTACGGCTGATTTATTTTTATTTACTCCATAACCTACATCTTTTTTTTTATTTTGAAGGTTTTCTATTCTTTTTTTTTTTTTTGTCAAAATAAGTCTGTGCTTAATCATAATTTTATTTCACAGTAAATATAATTTTCATTTTGGGTTTTATAAATATTTTTTGTGTGTTGGTTATTTAAATTTTTTGGGTTTCTTTTTTCTAAGTGTTTGAATGAACTTTAATATTTGACTGTAATTAAGAATTGTCTGTGCATAGAATAGCTTAAGGTTTTAAAAAAAATCAAAATTTTAAATCTTAATTATGGTTAATTTTAAAATTGTTTATTGATTACACACATTTTTTTGTCTTCTTTTGTCAGTCTTGTGGTTATGAAATAGACGATCAAACAAATGGCTTATTAGAAGACGATGAACTGACAAGTTTTGGGAATTATAAATCCCAACTTGATGAGAAGCACGTGTCAATGCCGCACCAGGAGACCATTGATTTGTCCAGTCACTCGACCACAGCAGGGGATAAATCCAACTCAAGTCTCCCCGGAGGTGGACAGTCACTCATGTCCACTATGCTGTCTGCCTTACCTCTTGACCAGGAGGTAGAGGAAATCAAGGGACGGATACCTGGATTTAAGATAGAACAGGTAGGTTAATCTGTAAAATATTCAAAGATTAACAGGTATGTTAATTAGTTGATGATAATGTTTGTTAATTTGTATAAAATGCTTTGTTGACAGGTAAATTGTATTTGTGTGGAAAATTCCCCCCAATAATCAAGTCTTCAGTAGCTATTAATACATATTTTAACTAAGACCTTAATGGTTACATAACTAGCTATTTGAGTAATTTAAAAAAGACAAAAGTACTTTCATATGAATGAACATTTAGGCTTTATTGTTTGAGGTTTTTTTTTTACTAACCCAGTTAACGATACTTAAATATACATTAAAAATTTTTAAAATATTGTGTTTTTTTCTGTTTGTCATCTTTTAAAAATGATCCTTTCATGAATTAAGTTTCAATTAGAGTTGTACAAAATGTACTACTTTGACATCTCTGCTTTTGTTGGACTCATTTCAGGCAGATTTCTTGAGAAGAATGCTGACTTTCAGGTTAACTAAAGGATTGCATTACCTGGACATACAGCTGACATTTCCTGATAGGTATCCAATCAAGATCATTCCCAATATTGTGATATCACAGACCAATTTAGATCAAGAAATCTCTAATGGGATTTACAAAGTGAGTTGAAATAAGTCTTAAATAAGAACTGTTGTGACATTTTTATTGTCACTAGACTTCCTGGTTTCCCTTCAGAAAAGATAAATTGTCTGACTGCTGTAATACATCTACCCTAACACACACACAATCCTCTAAATTGTCTGTGTGTTGTAATACACCTACCCTAACACACACACACAATCCTCTCACTATCAGCCTCTTCTCAATTCACCACTTCAGTAGTATGTCAAAACAATATCCTCTAGATTATCAACAATTGAGATTAAGCTTAGTTTTGTATACAAAGGAATTAAATGTTTTGCCAAAGTGCTTACATCTGAGAAGGCAGTTACAGGCAACGGATTTTTTAAAATACTATACATATGGCAAAAATGCGTAAATATTCATGTAAATCAATATTAAACTTGTGTGAGTTTTAGTACTTTAAATTAACAGTTTTTAATACAAAAATAAAAGATTTTTTTTTTATTATTCCAGGCATTTAATGAAACCTGTACAAAGTTTGTCAGCAGTCATCTCAATTGTTTAGAGCCAGCCATTAAAACCATGCTGCAACACATGGAGAAGACTGTGTCAACTCCTATGTCACCTGAAACACCTGTGCAGGTAGGTTTTTAGTTGATTAATGCAACCACTTAATTTTCTTCTTTGTTCCCAAAGCCCTTATTTGCTTGAATCTACTTGGTTGTCATACCTCCACTGTTGCAATCGACCTTTCAACTCCAAACATGATTCAAGGCACTGTTCAAACCTTTATTTAACTTATCGTCATCATTACACCACATTCCTTCGACCCTAGCTGCTAAAAAACCATGCCATTACAACCTTACACTCCAGCTTTTATACCCGCACTCAACCTTGGGATAACATTACCTAAACACCCTGGGGTTAACTCAGCTCACACACACCTCTCCCCTACATTCAAGACTATTCTAGCCTATTCTAACCTAACCTACAACTGACCCGTAACGTCTACTTTATATTTGTTTCCACCAGCAACTAGAGGATCGCAAGTCTCTCCTGGACAAGAAGTTTCATGTAGAAAAAGTAATCCGCCCCCCTGTCAGCCCTGTGGCTCAGAATGTTGTCCCCATTTACCCCACTGGCAGCTTCCAAGATTCTTGCATACCTTTTCCTCGAACAAGTGGTGCCACTTTCTGTTCTAATGGTGAGAAACATATACCCTTAAACTCACATAATAGCTTCTGCCTTGTTACTACACTGAACTGGTGATTTGCTATGTAATTAATTAACTTCAATTTTTTAAAATATTTTTTTTCCCTTTTCTTATATAAAGTATGTACCACTAATATAAGTAAGTAAAGTTCCCTTTTAAAGTTAAGTAGAGTTCACTTGTTTCCGTGACCTCAGCATATGAAGAGATAGTGTGGTCAGCACTATGCTCAGCCGCCTTCACTTTCCCTAACTTGAGTTAAGCACCCATCAGAGTTGGGTGGACACGGACGGTCTACTGACTTGAACCCGGATTTAAACTCGAGACTTACAGGTTAGCAGTCCAGTTCTCTCTGCTGCTAGACCACTCCGTCGCCCACTAATATAAGCAAAGCTAAAATAACAAAACTATTTTAAGTTAAAAAGTTACCTTAGAAATGTTGAGACTTGTATCTTAATTATTCTCATAAATGGATTCTCAATGTATTATCTATTCTAAAAGCACCTGCAATTCAATTTCAGACCGCCTTGTTACCTTTGGTATACCTGCATCTATGAAAAAAGTGAATGATGATTCTGAGCTCACACCAAGGTAAGTTAACAAAAATAGAAATTCAACTGTTATTGTTTTTATATCATGTCACCTACCTTTTTTAAATTAAAAAAATAGCTTATAGGGAAGCTTTAAATGGAATGATAGATTGTAGCTAAACACCCTAGTTTTTTTTTTAAATTTCACTATTGATTCTTTTAGCACATTTTTATAAGCCTTAATTAAGTATAATTTTAGAAATAAATAAATGCTTTTTTTTTTCTTTTTTTAAATTTACACCATCTAAAAATTACTCAAAGCAAAATAAATCCCAACAAAACTGTCATGAATAATCATCTTTTCTCTCCCATTGTTTTCAGGGCAATCTCTGATCTAGTCTCCTACACCATGTCATCCCAGTGGATGCGACCACAGTCCAATTCTTTTGTCTCATCTTTGTTCTATAGCAGCCCACCAGCTATAACCGCTGAAGGCATAAGTGTCAGCAATTTTTACACAGAGAAGGTAAACTTGGGGTTTAATCGCATCCTTCACAGCCTATGACTTCATTTTGTTTCTATCACTTTCATGTTTTTACCATAAAATTAAATTAAAGTATAAGTTACAGTTATAACTAAAAAGTAATAGTGTTAATGACTCATGGTGAAGTTAACTACCCCATTAGTCTTTATTTTTGTATACAAACACACTGTAATGCTAGAAAGGTTTAGTTCCACCAATGCAATGGGAATAACATGTCTGCATTGACATGGTAAGTAAATGCCTGTTAAGGCTCCATCTTTCCAAAGCTGTCTATGATTCATCTTTATATTTTCATTAATTCTGCTAGGCCTACGTAACAGAAAACTTGATTTTTCCCCTATACAGTATTACAGGGGCAGACATCACCGGCCTGGTCACCATAAGGCAAGAGCTCGTGACACAAAGGAAAGCAAGCAAGACAAAGCTGACAAGATGAATAAGAAGATGCAGAAGGTTGGCAGTGTCAAAGTCTATGATGTCTCCAGCATAATTCCTATCTCCAAGTTCCTAGCACAAAACTATAAGTAAATATTTCTTCTTGCGGTTTCTATGGATAGTTTTAAACAAAAAAAAATTAGATTTGATAACAATCTAAAAGGATGCAAAATTTTTACAGCAAGATGAATATTTACGAAGGTCATCTTTTGATACAAATTGACACTGAAAGTACTTCTCATTTTTTTATGAAATAGTTTTAAAAAAAGTTAATTTTTGTGACCATCTTTAAGTTTGCAAAATTTTTTTAGCAAGATGAATATTCACAAAGGTCACCTTTTGATACAAATTGACAGTGAAGGTAATTATTTGAAGAATTAGAAAAAAAGGTGAATCTGTGTAATCCACAGTCAATAGTACACATTGATCAATGTTTATTTCTTATTCCAGATTAGACTTGGATGATATCCACGGCACATGTGAACACAACAGCAATGTAGCCAAAAAGTTGGGGAGAAAAGATTTAGTCATGGTAAGTTTCTTCCTTATGTAGAACCCACATCTAAGAGGATCTTGCAAGTTTTTTCACCTTGGGGATGAATAAAAATGACACCCTAATTACTGAAAGATTTTTTTGTGTGGAAATTAATTGAAAAGTTACAATCTAACACAAAGTAATCAGCAAAGTTTAATGCAGAAGATGTTTAGCCCTATAGTGTGTTTATTCTTCTTGGGTCTCGCTTTTCAATTGGTGGTGTTGGGGGAGGAGTTGCATTGCACTTAGACCTGAAATCCATAGCCATAAACACTTAATGTTGGCAAAGTGATATGTGCTGGTAGTGTACCTAAAAAATAAAGCTGCCTCAAATTCTAGAGGTCCTTGTTTCCAAATCGGACCCTTTTCTTTAGTTGATAGTTATCGCTGCCTGTTTACATGAACGTGTATTGATGTTTCTAGGTGTGGGAGCAAGTGGATCAGATGACAAAGCCATGTTTACAACCCTCTCTGGACATTTCTAAAGGCATGCCTTGGGCCTATACACCTTTTGGAAGGCAGATATTGAAAAAAATGTTAGAATTATATGGCATGCAAATGTGTGCCTATTTTTTTAAATGTACTTTTTCATTGTTTTATTTTATATAGATCTAGTTATAACTTTTGCTGTATGTAACTACGACTTTTTCATGTCTTTGCTGATTAATTAAATTTTATAGCAATTATACTTTTGTATAATAAAATAATTATTTTTCCAGGCTAGATCATTATAATAAAATAAAAGATGTTCAGACGATGGCCATGCTCTGTTGTGTTTTCTGGGACAAAGAAAAACCCAGGAAAGATCTCTCAGCGCTCATGGCATCATCTAGCAGCCAAAAGACTTCGGAATATATAGCACCTAATGTAAGCACTTCTAATTTTTCTTTAAAGGCATGTAAAAATCATACACTGATTTCTTCTCTACAATATCAAAGTTTAGAACTAGATAAACAAAATAATCATGAATCATGTCAAATTGTTGAATAATTGCAAAAAGAAAGTATTTACATTTGTATTCGAACTACAAATGAATGGTCAATTGTTCACCAGAAAAATGTGCTTACCCTAAGAACTTCTGTATTTCTAGCAGATGCAGCAGAATCGACTGTTATGAAAATGTCACAATAGGGTTAATTCAATCACTGGCTATAGGCCTATATGGCACAAAGTTGGCACGTAATACTTAATTATGTTGGAGGGAATTTCTTCCAACACTAGAATTAAGAATGAAGAAGAAGAAGAAGATAGGTTACTTTAATATAAAAAAAAATTATATTGTTTATCTATGCTTATAAGAGAATAGGTTTAATATTTATTTACAAATTTACAATATCAAGTGAGTATGAATTTTTAAAATAAACTTTAATACATTACATAAATACATTTTCGAAGACAAGGAAACATTCTTTACAAGAAAGATCTAGTCTTGCTGATAGTTTAAGAGAAAATTACTATGTTCCTGAACCAGAGAAGTGGTGCTCCATCCCTGAGGTCTGTAGGGTGCTAGAAGTAATTCCATGTAAACCTTTCCACCCGTTGATCTCCTCTGACCCTATTACCTGGGAGACTGGACTGTTATGTTCACAACTTTTCCAATATTTATACTGGTGGATTGTGCATTTAAAAAAAAATTATTTCTATATTAATGTAAAAATTGTTATCAAAAGCTCTACAAATCTAAAAAGGGGAATTTTAAATTCTTTCAAGTGCGTAAAAATGCATTTCATATTTAAAAAAACAGAAATAAATTTGAAGTAATGTATTGTATGAATCCTGTTTACAGTTTGTTTTGACCAACTTGACAACAACAACAAAAAACATTGCAATATTTTTTTTCTACTAAATTTGTACCTTATTTTATTTATTTAAGTTTTTTCCTCTCAGACTCAAAAGCCACTTAATTCCATTAGACTTTTAAAATATGCATGCTCTGAAATATTCATATTTGATTTCCTACTTGACCGGTTAATGTTTGAATACCTGAATCAAATTGCATGAAAGTCTATTGTCTTCCAACTTTTTTTTTTGGTTAAGAATTTACACATTTCCCTTGAAAATACAACTTAAATCATGCCATCTTATTATTTTTTAAAGTAATTTTTAAGAAATATAAGTAAGTAGAAAGTATAGAACTTTTTTTTTTTAAGTTCATTTATAATCTATTTTAAGAATTTAGTTAAGACATAGTGCTGTAAAACATTTTTTTAAAATAAATAAATTTAACACAGTCAAGTTTTAGAGTACTAAAACATTAGCCTACCAGTTTTCACCAAATAAATTACACATGGTAAATCTGAAATGTAAATATTAATATTTTTTACATTGAGCTAATACATTAATGGTTGGAATTTTTAACCTTAACCTCTTCAATGTAAAGTTCCTAAACTTTTTCCTATACATCTTTCTTTTTATATTATTCCTTACAGGAGCATTATTTAATATAAACTTATTTTTATTAAAACTAAATTTTTTAAAATTTTAAAACTCATTATTTAGATTAAATTTAAACATATTATGTTCATTTCTGAACATTAAAAGCAAATGTTAAAACTGCTTTCAATTTCATTTTTTTTAAAAAAATGGTAAAAAACCAGTTGTTAAAATAATTTAACATACATGTAGCAAACTTAAACATAATAATTTTCTACACATAAATGCATGAGATAACAATTGATACTATCACCTACACATCGTAATACATACTTGCACAATTCATATTAAGAGTTAACTTATGCATAGCAATAATACCTAGAAATAACCTGCCTTTTGTTTAACCAAACACCAGGTGCCAGAAATTACAATGGCTAGCAGTACTGACAGTGGGTGGAATATGCTTCGTAAGTGGCCACCTGTTAAACCACAAACGGTGGTGTCTCATTCTCACCCATGGCCGATCACATTTTGATTTTAATAGGGGCTAGTTTTACAAGGTCTTAGTCAGAACTGAACAAGGTTTTTGGATTAAATTTTAGGGTTAGATGACATGGAAAGTGTTGATAAAGCAGTAGCAACACTAGGTGTTGTAATTTGTGCTTTTGTTTTGTTGTTTGGTTTTTTTTTGTGTTTTATAATCTTAGCTTTGGTGATAGTTTATTTATAATTATTAATCACACTCATTGGATTTTTTTTATTGACAAAAAAAGTAAAAATGAATTCCTTAGCAAAATGCAAAAATAATTTTCCTCAACTATTTTTTTTTCTTACTTTTTTTAAAACTTCCCAATAAGGTTATATTATACTCTTTTATAGAAATTTTTTGTTTAAATAAAGTTTTTCACCCTTTCAGGACTCTTATAGTAAAGGTTTGTACAGCCTGACATTGCTTTCTCCGTACATAATCTAACCAGAATAAATATTTTTGCTGATTTCTTTTGCTTCTAATGGTAATCCACATGATACTATGGACTTAGTTTAGACTTCTAACCAACTCAGGTTGCAGAGTTTTTCTGTTTCATTGACGTCGGGAAGGACTTCATATACACATGCTTACAAAACAATTTTTTAAATATGATTTCACTAACAGAAAACTAATTGAGGACATTGTTTTTAAATTTATATGTACATTTTTTAACAGTCTATAAAATATATTTTTTATCAAGCCTTGGAAAAAAATATGCAATAGTATGAATGAAAGTTCACAGATTTTTAACCACATAGAAATGTTGCAAAGAAATGTTTTCAGGATAGACTTAATGGGATTACAGATAAAATTGTTTTTTTCTGCTTGGACGCGGTTCGTGTATGTTTAGCAAGGTTGCGTGACACGTCTGCTTATTTCTACAGATTGTTATATTTAGCGAGTCAGTGTGACACTTCTGCTACATCTGTTAAACTGTTGATTCTCTTGTGTTCATTCAAGTTTGTTTACCATTTCTTGTCTTTGAAGTACATCTTTTCATTAGTAGACTTAGCCTCATTCATGTTTGATGCACCACTTGTACTGTAATTTGATGATGCCAATGAAATTGTTAATTTTGTTTCTTATTTCCATCCCCCTGATCTCCACGTAATCTCCTCACCAACCCCAAACCCCCCAACAGCCATACAATCCTTACCACACGGTCTCCTCTATGACCAATCTGCTGAAAGGGTGGACATCCAGTAAGTTGTTTTATCCTCAAGTGCTCTCCCCTTGCTTTGCCCACACTTTATAACCAGAGAAATAAAATCAATCACTTTTACTTTTTCATGCCAAATGCCATTGTACACACCATTTATTTTTTTTATTTTTATTTTGCCACTTCTGTTACTATCAAAATTATTTTGTATAAATTGCATTACATGCAAGCTAGCTTTTGTTACTGTAAGTAGTTTGCAAATTTAAAAAAAAAAATATTTTAATTAGCTTGAAAATCAAAGACTAGCCATTTTTTAATTGAACACTTCAATAATAGTACAATTTTTTTTTTGTATTATCTTGGTTTGGCATGAAAAGAAAAGCCACGAGGGTGTGCATGGTGGGGGAAGCTATAGGGTGGGGCACTATCTTGTGAATGACACTAATGACTGTTTCAACACCAGTTTGACCTGTAGTGCTTTCTTTGTCTCTCTTTTTTATTTTTTTTTTTTAACCTTGACACTTATTCTTGTATGATTGTTGTTTACTTGTTCAACATTGTAGGTTAGTTTATGCTGTTTTCAAAATCATTTTTAATCCTTTGGAACAAAGAGCCTTAAGCAAAGGCATTTGTCCAATTTTTAAAACATGCAGGTAAGAGAAAGAAATCTCATGCTTCAGAAATTTTTGGTTCAACATTGCTTACCTGTTTGTGGAAATTCTTTTTTTTTATTTATAGTTTTGATGTTGTTCTAAAAACTGTTCACAATTTCTTTTAAGTTTTGTTATTTAATCCCAAGGGTTTGCCTTCTTTATTGCAGTGTTAGAAACTTGAAATGATTTGTGTCAAAACACAGAATTAGAAGATAGATCAATCCAGATACTGGCTTGGTCTTAATGCCATTATAGAACTAAAATATTATGTGTAATGAAACTAAATATTTTAACCAAAAAAATTGACGTTAATTTGTTTTACTTAATACATTTTTTTATATTTTTTTTAATTGACTTTTTTTTAATATAGAAACAATAAATTTTCTTCGTTGTTGGACATTTTAAAATCTGCCATTTTTAGACCTGTTGTTGCTTTTAAATTAGCTTATTACTTTTGTAAGTTTTTAAAAAATCCACATATGATAATTAATCATTTTTAATCCATGTTTTGGGTTGGCTATTGATAAACAAAATGTGATCTGTCATTGGCATTACAGCTGTCTCTGTTATCTTTAAACTTAAATCAGTAGTTGTCTATTAAGTTGTCATTCGTTATTTTAGTGCTATTAGTGCTAGTATCTTGCTAGTATCTTTTTGACGGGATATTTAAGAGGCTTTGTTTTATCTCAGGCCTTTGTCTTAGGGTAAAAAAAAAATTACTCTAATATACAAGGGAAAAATTTGTAAATAAACAAATAATTAGTTTAGAAAATCAGAGTAATATAGTTGAAAACTATGCTAGCTAGTCTGATACATTATTTTATACTTAACTGGTATGGAATTTAATTTTAGGAGTTTTAAAAAACAAATCTGATAAATATTTAAGGTAAGCCATTTTAAGTAAACATTTGAGGCTGAAGAACTAACATGTATGTCTTAACCCTTCAATGTGAATTTAGTTAACAAGACAGGCTCCAATGCAGCTGTACAGATCTACCATTCACCATTTCCTTCTCTGCCCCCTCCGCCATCTTCATCCCCTTCATCTTCTTTAATTGCATCAAGTGTATCAGTTGTCAGGGGCAGAGGCCGAACAATGGCAGAGGTAGCCTCACAACCCAATCTGGCAGCCTTGTTCCGTGCAGGTCTGTATAGAACTCATTCAAGAAGTTATGGGTGTTTAAAGTACAGGGTAGACATGCTTTTGCTTTGTTTTTTTTTTTGTTTTTTTCTTCCCAAGGGGGTTCTGGTCATGGGGATTTGCTGGTACGGTTAAAAGAGTGGGTTTTATTGTTGATACATAATAGTTTATGGTAATGTTCTATGTCAAATTAAGGGTTTTTATTGTTAGTTGGGATCAGTTTGCGCTGTTGGGTTCTGGTAAGGCAGGATAGTTGAAGCTGAACACATGGGGAAATACATTGTCCAAACCAACTTTTTTGTCACAAAGTTCAGAATTTTCTTTGTAATGTTACTCTGTGTATATTTTTAAAGTTTTCAAAACATTTATATGCAAATATTTCTTTCATTTGCATTTATTTCCTGCAATGGTTATTCTTAGTTCTACTTTCTTTGTTCCAAATTGAGATGTTCTTATTCAGTCAAAAAATGTTAACAGTGGTGAAACATTTGTAAGTTTTGGTGAACTCAAGTTTTTTTGTCTGAATTAATGACTGATACACATCTAATTTATTTTAGAAACAATGGAAAAATGGTTACACTTTTTCTTCAAGGTCATCTCTATGATAATTAATTGAATAATTCTGCTTTATTAGGCAAGTTTTAGCACTGCAGTTGCATAGCAATCTAGTGTTATGATGGGAAGAATGTGTCTACGTTGTCCATTAAAATAATTGTGATGGGAATGATATTGCTAGCTAGTCTACTATAGAATACAGAAAGGGTATTTGATTGTATGCATAAAAGTTTATGATTGTAAGAATATTGCAACAATGTCTGTCATAAAGTGTTGTGAGATTTAGTCAACCAGCATAAAATTTCCAGTAATCAATGGCTGTTTAGCTGTGGACTAAAAAAAACTTGTCTTTATTCTTGCATGCTGCTCATCATTCTGTAGCTCTGGTTGTCCTAGGTTAGTACAGCATGCCAGACTTGCTGAGTGACTTTGTGTTGTGGATTAACCTGCATGCTTCGACATGAATTGTCTCATTCCTTTTTACATTTCAGTTTTCTTTTTTCCCTATTTAGGAATCCTTTAGTCTAATTTTTATGGATGATTATAGGAAATATTATTTCTGTTTAAGAACTGTTTATTGGATACAAATTCTTGTCCTAAAGTAAACATCTTCTTTATTTCATTATGAAAAAATAATTTTGTTTAATCTAGATCTTTTTATAGGAGCCTTATCCAGATTTATTTTAAATGGAAATAGATTTAGTAATGTAACAGTCATTTTTAACTACTTGGCTTAATGGAATCGTGTTCAGTTTTGAAGGATCTTTGTGTTCCCCTGTACTTTATGAGCTGCTTAAATGTTTTTTACAAACTCCTTCTTAAAGGTCGTGGCAAAGCTTCCAGATCGGCAGGTAACACATCCAGTTATACCAATACGTAGTTACTGTTTCTGATTTGTTGACTCAACTTTCTTTGTTTATTTTTGGTATTCCAATATGCATGTAAACTAAACCTTAACTACATACAGGGGCAGTCAACCCTGAAGATACCTGCTACACTTATAATTTGCACAGAGTTATTTTTCTTTGCAGTTCTTGTACTGAGTAATATATAAAATATATTCACTTATTAATTCTCCATAATATTGCTGTTGGAAGCATCATGATCTTTTGATGCTATTATCCAAATGTTTAAGGGTAATGTTCAGAACTGCTGCGTTCTTTTGTTACAAGGTTTTTCTTTTTTTTTTAAGATTATAAAATTGAACTACTATGACCAAACTCAAGCTGTGGCAATGGCTAGAAGAAATTCTGTCTTCTACTTTCTACCACTCATCACCCAATTAATGTAAATTACTCTTGGTTAATTTGTATAGTTTAAATAAAGCTTTAACTTCACTTGAGTAACTAAAACTGTATTCTATAGCTGTAAGCTATAACTACATTCAAGATACTATAGTGCAGCAAAACACTGTTGCTGTCAAGTAACTATAAAGCTATAGTAGGTGGTCATTCATTACATGCAGTATTGAAAGTTAGTATAAATATGTAAGTCATCAGCTCAAATTAAAATTGGCAATAATGTTTTATGTTTAAATAAATAATGTTATTTGGGCAGTTTAATATATTCAAACACAAAACTGATAGCCTCTTGTTTTACATTGAATATAGCTATACTTAATCACAGCCCGGTAATTATTATTTAAAACTATACCATTGAAAGTCTCAGTAATAGGATAATCATGTTGTTTAAATATTGAATAATACTAAAATATGTCTGTTGACTCCTTTTATTTACTTTTAAAAGAGCTAAACTTTGTTCATGAGTGTTATCTTTAGATAGGAATTGTATTTCTAAAGATACAGGTTGCTAGAGCACATCTTGGTAATGAGTTGACTGCAAGTTATAGAAGAACTCTTATACTCAGTGGGTTTTCAGAACTAGGGTCTTTTTTAAAAAAGAAAACTAAACATTCAGTTTTAGTGACTAGCTCCTCTCAACTTGAACTTTTTTATACTCAAAAGTTTTGGAGCTAAGACAGACTTATTTTGTTTTTTTTAAAACTGATGTTTATGGATTGTTTAAGCTCATATTTGTATACTATATTAATAGCTGTTCTGCTTAAACTGGTTATAAAAAGCTGCTGTTGTGTAAGCAACAATGTATAATTTATAATAAGCTTATTATAAATTGTTATGATTGATTAATTAAGCAGAAATGGTAGGGTGGATTAGCTAGACAGAACAAGGAATTATTAATGATATAATCAAGAAAATACTTGTTTTCAAATTGCTTTTTTAATACTCTTACAAGAAGAGTTACTTCTTGAACTTGCTTAATCGAGAATGTAATCAGGAAATCTATGTCCAAAGCTAAATCTGTGCATGTCTCTTTAAGATAATACATTTAACCCATACTATATTTACCCACCCACCTTTCTCCTTAACCTTTATTTGACAATACTACCCTGTTACTGAACTTGTATAAACTTGGCTCTTTGCCTTTATAAGGTAGCCTTATCAGTTCATGGCAATATCAGAAATTGTAGATATTTTAGTATCTAACTTAAACAAGTAGACTTTTATCTTTTCTGGCATTTTATTTACATAATACGTGAAGTTGTGGTACATATGTGAATTTATTATGAAAATTTAGTATAAAATAACTGAAATAATCCCTTTAACTTTAACAATTTAATTTTTTTTTCTTTAACCCCGAAAAATGTTTAACTAGATTGAATTCAATATTTGCAATTAATGTTAGTTAACTATTCCTATTAGAATTGTGTACTGTATATAACTATGAGATAACAACAAAAAACCCAGTCTTGTTGAATTTTAAGATTACTTGTTGAACTTGCAGTAACTGAATGCTGATTTGCAGTTTTAATTTGGGTTTAATTTTTTGTTTCCTGTTCTTTTTAAATTTATCTACTTGTTAAAAGTTAACTAACAAGATTTTGACATTTAGTTTATATTACCTATGTCATGACTTAATTTGTTTAGCTTCTAATCCTTACTGTAAATCTCCTTTACAGACTTAATGGTAGTGCAGATTCCTATTAAAAATGTTTTTGCTTATCTAGTAAATTGCTTATTTTTACAACAAAACAATTAGCCATTATACCCTTTATTCCTAACTAGCTTTTTATTTTAAAACTATTTTACTGAGTTGTAGCCTAATTAGTTAGACTGAACTTTTTCTTGTTTTAGCATTGTGTATTTAATAAAATGCATATTTTTAAATCATCTGGAATGTTGAACTAAACATGGGTGAGAATGAAAGACATCTTGCACCTGGCTTGTTGATAGTTAAGAACTGATTTTAAAATAGCATGAATTATTTTCTTTCACTTTAGTTTAGACTGGCTTTTGTTATGGTAAAGACTAAAGACGCTTATTAATTTAAAAATTCAAGATTTTTCAAATACCTTAAAGGAGCTTTAGAGTTGTTTTCTTGCAGTAGGTTATGTACTAAAACAATGGGTGTGTTTATTCATTAGCCATGATCAAAAGTAAACGGTCATTCAGTTGGTCAGAGTCGTATGACGAGTTCAAGATTGTTGAGGATAAAGATCCAAAGGACCGTGTTCTGGAGAAAGAGATCTCACAACATCGCAACAACAGCAAGTATGTAGGGATGTCAGATTAATACTAATAGCAGCAATTATGCCTGAATGTCAAATTAATACTGAAAGTATGTATGGATGTTGTTTTAGTTATCTTGTTTGGACCCACATAACTTGTAGTTTGGCTTCCCAGGGGTTTGGGCTTCTAACTAATCTCAATAGTCCCCCATCATGCTATTTCTTTCAGTATTACTTCCCTTTATGAAATTAATCTGAGATTGGTGTTCTGAGGTGTTTGATTTTTTACTTCTATGGTAATGGGCAGGGGGTTGTTATTTCTTGTGGTGTTGGTTAATTATATGAGCAATCTGGTCCCTACCTGCCTTTCCTTGTAAATTTTAACTCTGAAAGGACCAATATAATTTGGTATATTCATTCTGTTATCCTTTAACTTAGATCTGCATCTAAAATTGTAGGTTTTCTATTTTTAAAGTAAAAATGTTTATTTATTGCAGAATGTTAGCCCCAGAATTAAGACAGCATTATGAACATATAAAGAAGACATATGCCAACATACTCTTCAAATGGGGATTGTTGAATGAAAGAGCACTGATATTAAAACACACCAACAGCATTGATGCAGAACAAAAAGTTATAGGTTAGTTCACTAAATATCTGACTGAGGTTTTGTTTTTAATTTAATGAAATACACTGAAATAAGAACAAAAACTATTGTAAAAACTTAAATGTGCTTAGTAGATTATGTTGTGGTGAAGCACACGCTTGCTAATCTTCTCGTGTTTGATGGATGAAATATTGAACCTACCCAGCTATAATGTGTATAAAGTCTAGAAAAGTAAAATAAAGTCAATGGATGATGTTGTTTACCATTATTAAATTAAAATAATAGAAAAAACTACATCATTTTTTTCTGTAGACCACTATTTCTTTAAAAAATACTTGTCTAAATATAATTTTGATTATTTCCAATGAAATGGGGGGAAAATATTTTTCTTAAATTCATTTCTCCTCCCATAGCTGATACAAAAAAGTTCATGTGATAACCTTGGTTTAATTTCTCTAGAGTTTCCTGTTTCATGTTGGAACTGTCATGAAGACGTGAAGGGAGCCCAGTGTACACATTGTTCATACACAGCCCTGAGGTGTGCAGTGTGTAATCTGGGTGTTAGAGGTCAGTCTTCTTCTTCTTTGTTCTTAATTATTAGTGTTGAAGGGGATCGAGATTTATCTGCCAGTGGGTTCGAACTCGAGAATTTGTTCGAATTTATCAACCATGAGCTTTTTGCCGACTCGACCACGCCTCCAACACAATTAAGCGGTACGTGTCAACTGGTTATGCGCCATTGAGGCCATTGACTCCGATTTCAGCCTGCTTTTCTTTTTGGATTTGCTTCCATAGCCTTTGTCCAACCAAGAACAAACTACAAGGCAGCAGATGTTTTATTTTTGGAGTTGTCTCTCCTAGAAGAGTGGCTGTCCCCAGCTAACGAGCCTCATCTGCCCGAGGGTTCGAACTCGAGACTTTTCAGTTTAGCAACCATGAGCTTTACCGACTCGACCACGCCGACCCCTTTAGAGGTCAGTGATTCCACCTGCATAGACCAGTACCAAAAACATAAACCTAACAAACAGCACCAATAACATAAACCTATCAAATGCCAGTACCAAAAACATAAACCTATCAAATGCCAGTACCAAAAACATAAACCTAACAAACACCAGTACAAAAAGCATAAATCCATCAAATGTCAGTACTAAAAAACTCATAATTTTGTGCTAAAATGTGTTGTTTTTTTTACACCAATATAACCTAAATGAAAAGCTAAATTACAATCAGAAGTTTTTTAAAATTACCATTTTTTTTTCTTTAATTTTTAATAACCTCCAAATGAACCCTAAATTTCTAGATCTTGCTAATGACTATATCATGTTTTTAATAAACAGCAAATGAACTCAATATTCTCAGATATCATGAAACAATAAACAGCAAATGAACTCAATAATCTCCGATCTAGCCAATGTTAACATCATCTTTTTCATAACCTCCAAATGAACTTTATATTCCCATATTCCCAGATCTAGCCAATGTAAACATCATCTTTTTCATAACCTCCAAATGAACTTTATATTCCCATATTCCCAGATCTAGCCAATGTTAACTTCATCTTTTTCATAACCTCCAAATGAACTTAATATTCCCAGATCTAGCCAATGTCTGCATGACCTGCCACCACGGAGGTCACATGGGTCACATGATTGACTGGTTCTCCACCCAGGCCCTCTGTCCCTCTGGCTGTGGCTGTAACTGCCTGGAAGAAAACCTGCCCAGGAACTTGATAGTACCAGATCAGATCTCTAGTTAAGTCAGCAGTCACCTGCCCTGTTGCACTTGATCGCATTTCCATTTTGTACAGAGAACATTCAGACATTCCCATATCATTAACCTCATATTTCATCATGTGTGTTCATAGAAAAATTCAGGGAAATTCAGAGCATTATTTTTATAGCATTGTTTATTGTTGACTTCCATATTGAATGATGTTTATTTATGTTTGAAGCTGATACTAGTATATAGAAAACAGAAATGTTTTGAAATGACTGACTAGTGTGTGGTTTTACTGATTTTGATGTGGTTTATCTGACTGACAATGTGCAGAATAAATCTTGACTTTGATTATGTGATTTATTCTACTAGTGATATATCTGGTGTAATTTAACTGACTAATCAATGGTTACTAGTCCTTGAAGCCTTTTTTCATGATTGAAGATTGAAATTGCCTATACGACATGTAATTGATGCTGCCCTCCATCCAGATTTTTGTTATATCTTTTTATGTTGATGTTTTCTTGTTGATGAATGTAAGCTTTTGACAGAAGTCCAGTTCATACTCAGCCAGATGATCAAAACAAAGAACAGTTCTTAAGCAATAATTGCAGCTATGTTAAATAAGGTTAATATGTATTGGTTTTACAGTACACAGCTTTTCCATACTCCTTAAGTGGAGCCTAATGCTAGTTTACATATTGTTTTATTATGTTTTCCTAGTCATTTGAGTTACATCGTAGAAACATCAAGTAAATTGAATGTACCAATTTTTTACATTTTTTCAAGTTTGATGTAGACCACTAAAACTAACAGCTCTAACAGAAATTACTTTGTTTTGATGACAGTAGTTACTTGTACATATTTTGTTTTTCTTTTACACAGAAATCAAAAGAATAATATTCTCTTAAATTATAAGTAAAGTTTAAACTTTCAAGTATTGATGATGCCTGTTGCTTAGTAACTTTTTCAATGCATGCTGAGATAGGGTATTATTTTGTTGTTTATGGTATGTTTTCTCAAATGGTAGAAGCCAGCTCCTAGCTTATTGCCATAGATGGATTTTTTTTTAGTTCTCTTCGATGCTGATGAGTAGGTCAATAATATTCTAATTTAATATTTCTCAGTCCAAGGGTTAGTGAAGAGTATATTTAATAGGTATATAGGATAGCTTAATTGATAATGCGGAGGTCACAGTAACAAGTGAACTCTACTTCACTTGCCCCATAGACCATCAGGTTTGAAAGGGAAACTTACTTTACTTTAATTAATTGATAATACTCAAGTAATTTCTTCTTAGGTTATTTAAGTTGTGATGGTAGTATGTTAAATTAGATAATATACTGATTAAAATTAGCAGGATAGTTAAAAATAATCATGTAAATATCTGACAATAGACATTTCTTAAGCTTTCTGATGAGTTTCTAACAATAGAAAAAAAAACATTTGATAAAACTTAACTTATTCAAATACTTTCACATGTGTATGAAAATTCTCTGAATATGCAATAGCAAAGCAATATTTGAATTTGTTCCTAATTTTTTGAGTTTGGGTGAAGGTGAAATAAAATTAATTTGGCCAAAATGTTTTCTTATCTGCTCTTGATGTAGTAATATTAAATTTAAAATATTATATAGCTGTCTTTTTAAAAGACCAGTAGTAATAGTAAAAACAGCCTTTGAAGAAAAAATGATCCATAGTTGTAAAGAAGAGTTCACCTGTTGTTCAAGTTTTTCATAAAGATAAAAGGTGTTATCAGCTCCAATAGATATAGCCAGGACTCTGTCCATCTTCATTCTGACATGAATTTTAGATTTTTGGCTATCTACTATGCTGCTCAACCTTGCAATCCACAAGTGGTCAAACTACAAAAGTCACATTTTTACACCATAAAACCTATTGTGATATTTTAGTTTTAGCTACAACAGTATTGGCTAGAGAATATCATGTGGTAGTGATGATAATTGCCTACTTTAAGCACTTCAAATTTGTAAACATTTTTCTTGCGGTTATTTTACAACTTGCAAATGTGTAGTGGTCATGATAGTTAAAACATTGAGTTAAAATAATTGACATAACATCCCTCATTTCAACCTCTCACCAATAAGTTTCAGAAAAAAATACAAATTGTGCTGTTTAATAGATTAATAATAAAAGCAATTTTGGGAAGAAAGAAAAAAAAACAGTTTTCAATGTACCAACAACACTTAGTGTTGTGTTTAATCAATAGGGTCATAAAATGTACAATCATACACAAAAGTATTAAAACTGTCACACACAAATAATTATCTAAACCATAAACCACTCAAAAAATCAACTCTCTGAATGAGAATATACACATATACCATTCAAAACATGCTTATGTGACTCAATATAAAATTCTCCAATTATTCATACTAAATAATGCATTACATGCACCATTTTTTCATAGTTGTAAATAGTTCACAAAAAGGTAATTAAAAGCAGCAGATTAAACAATGAGATGGTTAGGACAAAGAGAAGTTATAAACGCTGATTCTGGACATGTGTTGAAATGCTGATTGCCTTATCCCAGTATTATCCTTATGTTGGAATTTTCATTTAAATGGTTCAAAATTATGGATCTGGCTTGAATTTTTTAATTTTATATTTTTGTCTTGGTGCAGGGTCATAGATGTCAACAAGGTCTGAACTGTAGAAGAAATTTTGTTTTATTATAAATAGCATATTATATATGCAACAGATGACATCAGTATCAAGTATATGTTACAAGCAATGTATCAAACCCTGGCATTCAATAGAATACTTAAACTGTGTATACAATTACAATCCCTAGCCATTACATAAAATGCCTTGGCATTATAATGACATTAAGAATGGCAAGAACTGTTACACTTTGCCTATTTGTCATTTAGGTATTTTAAGGAATGATTTGGAAATGTATGATAAATGATGTATTTCATACTGTGACGATCCATTTCTGGCACTGTATAAATTGCCTTGGTGTTATATAGAATAATACTGTATATATAACACTGTATGTATTACTATATAATAATATCAAGATTTTAGCTGTTTTTAATTTTTTAAATAGCAAATAAATACTTACTAAAAGTAGTTATAAAATACGAAATTGTAAACAACTATTCCAAAACATGTCATGGCTGTCAGGACTATGTAAAGTGCTCTGTGAGTGTTGGTTTCCTATAAAGACAGAATTTTAAATTTTAGAGCATGACTAGTAATCTAATTTTAGTTTGAAACTGTTTTGACTGAAGACATAAATCTGTTAGTAACAATTATGTATTCTTGATCACCCCTTTACTGTCTGGTGTTCCAGAACTATGTGTAGTACATTGTTTTCAGTGTAGTTAAAGAATTTCAGCAACAAAATTTTAAAAATAAGGCGGAAACCAAAACTAAAAAAAAGTTTAAATTAAATATTTTTCACTACTAATTATTTTTTGTATAGCTTACGGAAATAAACCGGGAGTGATCTCCCCTAAACTTTCTCGAATATTCTTATATAAAACAACAGGGGATGGGAACTCGGGATATAGTTATGATTTTTAATCCATTTTAAATACATAAACTTTTTAAATTAAAATAGAATCTCATAGAAAAAAGTATTGCACACCAAGCGAACGCCGAATAAAGATGTTCATAATGCAGCGCAATATTATTAGTACTTTATAAATTTAGATGCGTTTTTGAGAAATCGGAAATAGCGTAAATTAGTACTTCCCGTCAACAGAAATTACTCAAAATTTAACAGAAGGTAGAGAATTAGATCTTTTACTTACATGTGAAATTGCATTTATCTATCTGAAATAGTACTCAAGTTATAGGCTTTTGAAAAATTCAAAAGAGAAAAAGTACCACTTCTGGTTATCGGAAATCGCTCAAAAGTTGATACGGATCTACGATTTTGATAAAATACTTATATATGAAATTTCATCAACCTAGCTGTAACGGTACTCAAGTAATCGTGTTTACACACACACAGACACACACACAGACATACGGACAAGATTGCAAAATTATGTTTTTCCGTATCAGTGAGGTGTAAAACGTCGAGATTTGTAAAAATCTCGATTTTTTTTTCTTTGCACGATTACAATACTTTCTCTATACTACGTATATACGAGAAAGTAAAAATAGTAAGAGAAAATTGTAGATTTTTTTAGTGTTTGAAATAGTTACATTATCTATATATATAATTCTCCTCTTCGAGCCGTTAGAAAACAAGCTGCAAACGCTCTCCCTACCTCCCCACCCCTACATGGTTTTAGTGAGCTGTGTTCACTCTAAATGTTTACAAGCAGAGCCAACGATTTTAAACGTAGGGGGGGGGAGGGGGGGGGAAGGAAGGGGGGGGGTTATGGTCCTTAACGAGCTACTTATAGTGTTTTAAAGAAATATTTTCAGTGTCAGCGTTGGTACTGTCGAATTCACAAATTATGAATTATTGAAAATTAGAAACAACTAAATAGCGGCGTATGTTATGCCGCGGGCCGGCTCGTTGCATTTATAAGGAGAGGTTAGGGAGTTTTGTTTTACATTTTTCTAGGTTTGGAATTGAAATTATTTTTATTTATTATTTGTAAATTATTTAGCACACTCATTTCACTTGACCCTGAGGTAAGTAAAAATGTTTTTAAAGCCTGGATAGTAAAGGGCTGAATCCATGGCAAAAGATAATATAACTACTCACCTGCTGGTATGGTGTATTCCAAAACTTGGAACAAGTGAGAAATGAGCAAAGATTTTCCATCACTTGACCTAAGTTACATATTTTAGAGAGTATTTTTGGAAAGTGAACCTTTAAATATGAACAATTTGCTAATAATTTAATTCAGAAACTAACGTCCAAGGACTAATTTGGTGAAAAGGGAAAAATAAATCTAGTAAATGAAAAAGCAGATATTCAAATTTTGCTTCATCAATGATGTAACATAGTAAGCATAACTAAAATTAAATATACAAAAAATTTCAACTATTAAGTTTGAAATAGTGGTTTTACACCTACAAAAATTAATAGCTAGTGATTTGACTTACTTCTAACAGACTCTGTTTCATTTTTTGAGTAGCCAGGAGGAATGCAGTTATTTATCAAAGTCTGAAATTTTTTCATAAAATAGATTTATGTCAAAATATAAAATAACATACTGATGCTGTTCAATATAATAAAAACTTTCTCAAGGTTCTTATTTCTACATGCGCTAGACTTTTAAGATCGTTATTGTTTTGTGGAGTCCACTTTCAACACTGAATTAATTTCAACACTGTAGTCGATAAATGAGATATGTGTTTTGTACCTTACACTGGGAGTGTAGCTCTTCCATATCATCCTCTAAACATAAGGCAATATCCCAGTAGTCTGGCTGTGACACACCTGAAATGATGTCACACCGAAATATGTCACAGACATCTGCTAGACACACTGCATCCTTTTTCTGGAAATGAAACAGAAGATTCTTTAACTAATTACTAATTCTGATTAAAATACATAGGATTGGGCAATATGAAATAACATAATTAGAATGTAAAAATGTTCATAGTTAAAATAATGAGAGCATTTTTGAATGCACATCTGTTGTTGACATTTTTTCATCCTTCAACCTAAGAGATATTTGGACTCAGTTTGGTGGGTGTTTTTTTTTTTCATAATTCAAATAATCTATTCTAATGCTGATGTTGATTGAAAACAGTTTAAAAGAATTCCTTTTTTCCCCTCAGAAGGTTTGGAAAGTGTCTTTCTGTCATCAGATTAGAATTCCCTGAAACCATGAAAACTTCTCTACTCTGAAAACTTCATTACAAAAACTTTTCATTAATTTAATAACAGATTGACTTGTCTACACTGAAAACTTTTCATTATAGCCACTTGCCTATTCTGGCACACTCAAATATATTAAGTACCTTGCAACATTGTAACTATCAGCAAGCATTAACCCATCAACTATTGAGGGAAGAGGATTATTCATTTTATAAATAACACAACAGTCAAAACATAAATTTACTTCCTTGTGATGATTTACTTGCACAGACATACGAGTAAGCTTCCTCTATGGATGCTGATTTTAGTTTCTTTTGTCGTTTGAATTTTCTTTAGCCATTTTAAAGACAATGTTCTGGCAGTTAAATAACCTTTTTTGAATACATGATGTTGGATGCCTATTACTTGGTGAGCTTTTTATAATACTAACACAGTTTTTTTGGTTCACATGCGTTTGTTGTCCATATAGCTGATGACATTACATCTGACCATAAGAGTGTGTTTAGGACTAGGGATATATAAGTATTAGATATAAGCTTATTGTACTAATATCAACTGTACAGATGGGTATAACTAAGTAAATTATGAGAACTCTTATGGTGTGACAAATCAAGTAAGTTAAAAATTAGGATATCACTTAACTTACATGTAATCCTTAGTAGTTATTTATACAAACATTAAACTATGCACACTCTATTACCCTTATCTGGTCTGTATGTCTATTTTCAAAATGCCGATCTAAGAAATACTCCGAGACAAAGGCCTTGCCACAAAAATCGCAAGTCCATCTATTAGCACCCTCTAAAACTTTATGATCCTCTTGAATGGAATACATGTCTCTCTCCAGTGAGAAATCACAGCTGGGATTAACACTCATTTTGTAAGCATTGAAAACAGGGTAAATCCTCTGAAATGTAATAATCAGTTTTAAAACATGGTAATAAGTAGCATATTTTATTGATTATAACACAAAGTTTTCTAGGAACAAGCTTTATATCTACACTGATACAGACACTATATAGGTTTGAAATATTAAAACTGTATCAATAGTGGGAATCATATCTCTCTTATACCTAGGTCAGAGAAAAGATGAGATGAATAGAGTTGTGTTTAATACAGGAATGATAAATAGGATAAGGGTTAGGTTTAGGACTTTGTAATAGTTATTGGTATAACCGATTTCTAGTACCAAATTAAGTTATGTTTCAATAAGCAATACTACTTCAAAATATCACAAAGGTGACTTTATCTCTTTCGCCTCTTGCATTTGACCGACAGGTACCAAAACAGTAAGGTAGAAATAGGTAAAAACTGTATTACAAGATTCCAGATTCTATTAAGTAAGACAGACAGGCAGAAGTGTTGAGTTAAATACAAACTAGCAAAGGTATAATTAATAATCTTAGTATAATTAATTGGGGGGGGGGGGGGGGAAATCAAGCTGTATTATGAGTTATATTTTCTAATAAAAATCAGCTCATACATATTATAAATATAATGCCCTGTTGTAGCATAACAGCTGTAGTTTTTAAAATTAGAACTTTTACAAAATTGTTTTAAACTTTTCACGGCCAAATGAATTTTGACAGAATGACACTCTGGTAGAAAGAAAAATAATTCTGTTAGTTTATCTGAAGTTCTATTAAAAAAATGTAATAAACAAAACTTGTCTAAGCTATAGTCAGAATTAACATTATTAATGAACTAGTTTCGAAATTTCGTAAGAACAGTGAGTTTGTTTTTTAAAACCTCGTTACTATGGGTATCTGTTAAGTTGATGAGCTTGACATGCTACACTTTGTGAGGAGGATGTTTAAAAGTATTGCTTTTACTTTTTACCTTAATATTTGTGCCTTTTAACCAGTTTCTTGTTTTAAAATTATAATTTCATGCCTTTAATGTGCAAGTTAAGCCTGTCATCTGTTTAGTGTGAGATGAATTAAATTCATTAGTATTTAACTAATACATTTTAAATTAAATGTCATTAAAAAAAACAGCAAAGAGATAAGTGAACTACTTAATAGGGTGTAACTCTACAACAAAATTGCAAGTTCACAAAGTATAGTTTGATAGAAATATGGTAACCAAAAGTGAATGAACAGCAAAAAATATTGATTATGACATTGTTAAAGGAGTTAATTTCCTCAAAAACTTTTAGACACACAATTAAAAAAAAAATTAAATTGTAATAAAAACTTGATTATTTATGGTGTTGTTCTTTGACAATCCTTTACATTTAAAATATAAAATTTAAACTCTAAAATGCCCCTGCTTACCATGCAAGTATCTTCCTACTTTAAAAAAAATGGCTGCCACAGGCTTCAAACACTCCAAAAACTCTGAAAATTTTAAAAATTTCTAGTGAATAAGAAATGACAATCTAGGTGAGCTTATATTTCAATACCTCTAGCACACAGTTTATGATAGGTGTGTCCTCTTGGCTAAAACAGCATCAGGTCAGAACATTGAAAACACTGTTTTTGTTCACATTTAAAGCCAATGTTGGTCATTATATTCTACTAACGCTCCAGAAGGCCAGTGCATCAGGTTGCTTCCCTTGCCTTACTCGCATCCTTTCCCCATTAGAACAACATTTATTCATATCTCTGTCCTTGTGAGTCAAACAAAAGGAAAATAGATAAATGAAATGGAGTGTTCAGTAGAGCCCACAACCCCTTAGGTTGTATGCACAAATGACATCCGTAACAGCGTCAAAGACGTAGTGAATGTTGTTAGTGTCTGTAGCGCATGTTTGATGACAGTAGATTACCTTCGCTGAGCTTTTATTTTTAGCTTCAAACTGTGCTTCTATGTATGCAGAGGCCTCTTGATACATTTGCTTACCTACAAGCAATGAGGAAACATGAAATCATTAAATTACCTGATAAAATTTGTCATGATTGTCATGCTTTACATTAAGGTTAAAATATGTGCTATATTAGAAGCCCTATATGATTATAAAAAAATAAAATAAAAACATTTTTGTTTAATTTAATTAAAAAATACAAACAAACAAACCTGTATATTCAGGGAAACATATTGTTAATGGGGACTTCTTGATTTTTTCCTCGAAGAGATCTTTCTTGTTGAGAAACAGAATAATAGAGGTTTCTGTGAACCACTTGTTGTTGCAGATGGAATCAAACAATTTCAAGCTCTCCTGCATTCGATTCTGGAGGACAAAAATAGAGAAAGTCAGAACATAAGAACACAGTCGGTTTTAGTCAGGTAAGTAACGTAAGTTTAGTGTTGGACTGAGTGGAGTAAGGAACAGTGTGGAGTGATGGACAGGGTAAATGCAATGAGGAACAGAGTAAATTCAGAGAGTGGTGTGAGGAACAGAGTGAATTGAGTGAATTGAGTGAGTGGTGTGAGGGACAGAGTGAATTGAGTGAATTGAGTGAGTGGTGTGAGGGACAGAGTGAATTGAGTGAGTGGTGTGAGGGACAGAGTGAATTGAGTGATTGGTGTGAGGGACAGAGTGAGTGGTGTGAGGGGCAGAGTGAATTGAGTGAGTGGTGTGAGGGACAGAGTGAGTGGTGTGAGGGGCAGAGTGAATTGAGTGAGTGGTGTGAGGGACAGAGTGAGTGGTGTGAGGGGCAGAGTGAATTGAGTAAGTGGTGTGAGGAACTGAGTGAATTGAGTGAGTGGTGTGAGGTACAGAGTGAATTGAGTGAGTGGTGTGAGGGACAGAGTGAGTGGAGTGAGGGACAGAGTGAGTGGTGTGAGGGACAGAGTGAGTGGTGTGAGGGACAGAGTGAGTGGTGTGAGGGACAGAGTGAGTGGTGTGAGGGACAGAGTGAATTGAGTGAGTGGTGTGAGGGACAGAGTGAGTGGTGTGAGGGACAGAGTGAGTGGTGTGAGGGACAGAGTGAGTGGTGTGAGGGACAGAGTGAATTGAGTGAGTGGTGTGAGGGACAGAGTGAGTGGTGTGAGGGACAGAGTGAATTGAGTGAGTGGTGTGAGGGACAGAGTGAGTGGTGTGAGGGACAGAGTGAGTGGTGTGAGGGACAGAGTGAGTGGAGTGAGGGACAGAGTGAGGGGTGTGAGGGACAAAGTGAATTGAGTGAGTGGTGTGAGGGACAGAGTGAGTGGTGTGAGGGACAGAGTGAGTGGTGTGAGGGACAGAGTGAGTGGTGTGAGGGACAGAGTGAGTGGTGTGAGGGACAGAGTGAATTGAGTGAGTGGTGTGAGGGACAGAGTGAGTGGTGTGAGGGACAGAGTGAGTGGTGTGAGGGACAGAGTGAGTGGTGTGAGGGACAGAGTGAATTGAGTGAGTGGTGTGAGGGACAGAGTGAGTGGTGTGAGGGACAGAGTGAGTGGTGTGAGGGACAGAGTGAGTGGTGTGAGGGACAGAGTGAATTGAGTGAGTGGTGTGAGGGACAGAGTGAGTGGTGTGAGGGACAGAGTGAGTGGTGTGAGGGACAGAGTGAATTGAGTGAGTGGTGTGAGGGACAGAGTGAGTGGTGTGAGGGACAGAGTGAGTGGTGTGAGGGACAGAGTGAGTGGTGTGAGGGACAGAGTGAATTGAGTGAGTGGTGTGAGGGACAGAGTGAGTGGTGTGAGGGACAGAGTGAGGGGTGTGAGGGGCAGAGTGAATTGAGTGAGTGGTGTGAGGTACAGAGTGAATTGAGTGAGTGGTGTGAGGTACAGAGTGAATTGAGTGAGTGGTGTGAGGTACAGAGTGAATTGAGTGAGTGGTGTGAGGGACAGAGTGAATTGAGTGAGTGGTGTGAGGGACAGAGTGAATTGAGTGAGTGGTGTGAGGGACAGAGTGAATTGAGTGAGTGGTGTGAGGGACAGAGTGAGGGATAGGATAAAATGAATGAGAAACAGCATAAATAGAGTAAGGGACATGGTAAATGGAATGAGGGACAGAGTGAGCGGAGTGAGGGACAGGGTAAAAGGAATTAAATGGGGGGGGGGGGGGGTGAGTCAATATTCAGGGAATAGTCGAGCCATTGAACCAATGGAACTGATAGTCTGAAGTTTAAAATGAAAGAGAAGCCATACGTTTTTTTTTTTTTTTTTTTTAAATTAAATTTTTATATTTATCCTCTTGTGAAAGTTGGGGGATCCTATTTTGGAAATTATATTTGGTGGAGTTAAAATCTAAAGTCTAAGTTAAAGCTGAGTAAAAGAAAGTGAAGTTCCCCTTCCAGACCTAATGATCCATAGGGTAGATGAAGGAAGGTTTATGTTTCTTGACCTTGACATATGAAGGGATGGCGTGGTCAGCTCTATTCCCAGTTGCCTTTACTTTCCTTAACTTCAGGTACCCAAATTTGTTTTTACCAATAAAATGACACTATAGGCTACTATAGATTTAATGAAAACTATCATAACTAAGAAAAACTATTGCATTCAATTGTCACAAGCCTAAAAATAGAAATCTGTGTCTAATGACCATCACTTACTGTTGTTTCATCTTCATGTAAGACTTGGTCATATTCACTCATAGCAACACAAAATATAATGGCTGTCACATCTTCAAAACAATGTATCCATTTCTTTCTTTCAGATCTCTGCCCACCCACATCAAATAATCTGTGGATAGAAGTCATTGTTGACAATTGAATCAGCTGTTGAAGTCATTACAAAGTACAATAAAGATGTGATGCAATACATAAATAATATTTGTTATCTCTTATTCTGCTTTAATCTGACATTAAGCTAGAAAATTATGCACATTCCATGAAACTGCACTGATTAGTTAAAAATACATTACAGTGGTTTTTTACTTTTTCGTATATACGAAGTATAGAGAAAGTATTGTAATCGTGCAAAAAAAATCGAGATTTTTACAAATCTCGACGTTTTACACCTCACTGATACGGAAAAACATAATTTTGCAATCTTGTCCGTATGTGTGTCTGTGTGTAAACACGATTACTTGAGTACCGTTACAGCTAGGTTGATGAAATTTCATATATAAGTATTATATCAAAATTGTAGATCCGTATCAACTTTTGAGCGATTTCCGACAACCGGAAGTGGTACTTTTTCTACTTTGAATTTTTCAAAAGCCTATAACTTGAGTACTAATTCAGATAGATAAATGAAATTTCACACGTAAGTAAAAGATCTAATTCCATTCCTTCTTTCAAATTTTGAGTAATTTCCGTTGACCGGAAGTACTAATTTACGCTATTTCCGATTTTTAAAAAAACGCAAGTAAATTTATAAAGTACTAATAATATTGCGCACTATTACGCACATTTGGTTTTGGTGCTCGCTTGGTGCGCAATTTTTTTTCTACTAGATTTTATTCTATTTTTAAAAGTTTAAGTAAACAAAAATCATGTCTATATTCCGAGTTGACATCCCACGTAGTGTTATATTAGAACTAGGCATACTGCCTAGCTTCGCTTAGGTTTTTGAAAACATTTGATAATTTGAATACTAATTATTTGGTGATGGATGAGGCGTGGAGTGCTTAAATGTAAACAGTAATGCTAATTTTAGAGAAGATGTTGTAGGCCTATGCTCTTTAACATCAGCTTTCGGAGAAAGTGATCGAAAGTACGCAATTTATAACTAAGATGGAAATAGAACTACAGAGGTTCCATGAACAGTATATCTCATAATTTATATTTTTCTGTTTTCTGTTTATGTTTAAAATAGTATACAATTATTTGAAAAATAATTATTTAAAAAGGTTACCTCCCTTGGAAATTAACCGAGTGACGTATCTCTGTGTTTACTTTTTTTTAAACAAACAGTTACTATGCTTATATAAGAAAATACGATATATAAACATATTTAAGGACTACAATAGCTTTTTCCGACGGGAATAAAGTTTTTTTGTTACCCTCCAGGGTCGGTCTACGACCTCAAATAATATTAACGGGATCGATCGTCAAATTATTTATATATATCTCATATAAGGAGAATTTCACTCGCGGTCATCTTTTAGCACTGGTCGAGGGCTTTGAGTCTGACCAACAGTTTTTCCATACGGCCTAGTCATCTATAGAAGTGTATGCAAAACATTAGCATGATGTACAGAGGTTAAGTAACGTAAAAATTGTGTTGAAATTACCCTGTTTTTCCCATAAAATACAAAGATTATATAGGGAAATACGACTGGTCAGTTTTGACCCCTTTACGAAGTTTTCCCAGATATGCCGAGTTTTTTGTGACACCCCAAGGTGTTCTCCTATCACCTCACAAAATATCAAGGGGGGTCGTCGGAGGAAATTTTTTTTCGTAATAGAGCTCATATAAAGAGAATTTCACTCGCGGTCACTTTTTAGCCCTCGTCGAGGGCTTTGAGTGAAACCGACAGTTTTCCCTAAAGGTCAAGCCATTGACCTAAGAGTATGCAAAAAATTAGCCAGATATACTGAGTTTAAGTACCCTAAAGTCTGCGTTGAAATGACCCTCTGTTTTTCCCATAAAATACAAAGATTATATAGGGAAATACAACTGGTCAGTTTTGACCCCTTTACGAAGTTTTCCCAGATATGCCGAGTTTTTTGTGACACCCCAAGGCGTTCTCCTACCACCTCACAAAATTTCAAGGGGGGTCGTCGGAGGAAAAAAAATTTCGTAATAGAGCTCATATAAAGAGAATTTCACTCGCGGTCACTTTTTAGCCCTCCTCGAGGGCTTTGAGTGAAACCGACAGTTTTCCCTAAAGGTCAAGCCATTGACCTAAGAGTATGCAAAAAATTAGTCAGATATACTGAGTTTAAGTACCCTAAAGTCTGCGTTGAAATGACCCTCTGTTTTTCCCATAAAATACAAAGATTATATAGGGAAATACAACTGGTCAGTTTTGACCCCTTTACGAAGTTTTCCCAGATATGCCGAGTTTTTTGTGACACCCCAAGGTGTTCTCCTACCACCTCACAAAATATCAAGGGGGGTCGTCGGAGGAAATTTTTTTTCGTAATAGAGCTCATATAAAGAGAATTTCACTCGCGGTCACTTTTTAGCCCTCGTCGAGGGCTTTGAGTGAAACCGACAGTTTTCCTTAAAGGTCAAGCCATTTACCTACAAACATGCCAAACATTAGCCAGATGTAAAGAGGGTAAGTGCCTTAAAATCCGTTTTGAAATGACCCTCTGTTTTTCCCATAAAATACAAAGATTATATAGGGAAATACGACTGGTCAGTTTTGACCCATTTACCGATTTTTCCTGGACATGGCGAGTTTTTTCTGACAACCCAAGGCGTTCTCCTACCACCTCACAAAATATCAAGGGGGGTCGTTGGAGGAAAATTTTTTTCGTAATAGAGCTCATATAAAGAGAATTTCACTCGCGGTCACTTTTTAGCCCTCGTCGAGGGCTTTGTGTGAAACCGACAGGTCTGCCCTACGGCCAAGCCATTTACCTATAAACATGCAAAAAATTAGCCAGATGTAAAGAGGGTAAGTGCCCTAAAATCCGTTTTGAAATGACCCTCTGTTTTTCCCATAAAATACAAAGATTATATAGGGAAATACGACTGGTCAGTTTTGACCCATTTACCGATTTTTCCCTGACATGGCGAGTTTTTTGTGACACCCCAAGGCGTTCTCCTACCACCTCACAAAATTTCAAGGGAGGGGGGGTCGTCGGAGGAAAATTTTTTTCGTAATATAGCCCATATAAGGCGCCGGTCAGTCGAGGTCAGTTTTGACCCCCTCTCCGTAGACTTTTTGGCCAACCGTCACCGGCCTTCGTGTTCTATCGCCCGAAGGCACCATCGTGCCAAATTTGACGCGCCTGCGGCGCCGGGAAGTGCCCTATCGGGCACCCGACCACTTTGCTTTATATACATAGATATTCGAGAAAGTTTAGGGGAGATCACTCCCGGTTTATTTATGATAATCTTTAAACAAGAACATATTTTAATTATGATTTATTTTTTGGTAAAGTAGTCAAACAAGAAATCACTTTTCATTTTTTTTCCTACTTGGACAAGTAATACATTGCAAGTGTAAGCTTAGAAATGTATGTGTAAACTAAAATTTATCAGTGGCTACATAATCACCTTATAAATTCTACAAAATCCACTACTAAACTCAAAACAATCCTGATAATTTCTATACAATCCCTAGTTTAACTATATGCAATACCCTGCTGAGCTTTAAACTTACTTAAGTATACAACGTCACTTCTAGTTTATCAACAAAATAGTCCTACATAAAGCTCCAATTAAAGCTTTTTTAAAAATGTCATTATTTATTGCCTGTGGTTAAAATGTCACTTTGTCATCAGCTACATATTCCACTACTTATGTTTAAAGTAGAACTTTGTTATAAGCTATATGATCCACTACCTATGGTTAAAGTAGAACTTTGTTATAAGCTATATGATCCACTACCTATGGTTAAAGTAGAACTTTGTTATAAGCTCTATGGTCCACTACCTATGGTTAAAGTAGAACTTTGTTATAAGCTATATGGTCCACTACCTATGGTTAAAGTAGAACTTTGTTATAAGCTATATGGTCCACTACCTATGGTTAAAGTAGAACTTTGTTATTGTTACGTCCAGGTTTAGTTCAACTCAGAAAACGATTCATGACAATCTTCAGTACTTTTATTTAGTCTCAACTCTCCCCATTACAGAGTAACCCTCGCCCTAACTGCTACCAATGAACCCTCTTACAATCATTCACTCCAGCTTTAATTACCGCATTCAGCCTTGGGATAACAATACACAAACACCGGGGCTAACTATACTCTAGGGTAAACTCAACTCACACACGCACTCTTGCCTAGTTTTAGAATATTCTAGCCTATTTCTATCTAACCTACAACTGACCCGTAATATAGTTATTAGCTATCGGATCCACTATCTATGGTTAAATTAGGCTTTTGTTATTATCTATTTATTCAACTACCTATGGTTAAAATAGACCTTTGTTATGGGGTGTATATTCCACTACCTAGTTTCCGGACCTCTGTTAGCCTACGATCATCCTAATCAACCTGTAAAGTGTGACACAGCGCAAGATAAATGTACAAGTACTTACTTAAAATTGAAATTTTTAAATGAGAAATGGACTTCAACTATGCCAGTTGTTTTAACTCTTGTCCTCAAGATATCCTGCTCAGTTGGCATGTAATCTTTTGCACCTAAACGGTCTAAATCACCTAAAAAACTGAAAAAAATAAATTATAATATTTTCATTAAAAATCTTGATAAAGGACATACTTTAAAAAATACTGCAATTAAAATTGTAAGTCAAAAAGCAAGAGCTAAAGATTGTCAAATAAGAGAAGTTGAAATTTTGATTCCATGTCTTTAGCATGAGTCAGCTCGTTAGAGATGGTAATCTAACATTTTGCAGTGAGAGCAGCTCAATACTGTACAAGTCATAAAGTCCTATGTTGTATTTTATTGTAATCCTACAATGTATCAACTTGTTTTAGTATATTTTGGAGGAGGGTGTGTTAGGACAAGAGAGCTCGTGGTTGCGAACTCCAAAGCACCAGAGTACAAACCCCTAACAGATCAGACTCATTAGCTGGGGACAGCAACTCATTCAGGAAACTCTAAAACCAAACAACTGCTGCCTTGCAGATTATTCTCGACTGAACAAATGCTATGGAAGTAAATCCAGTAAAAAAAGCAGGCTGAAGATGGAATCAAAGGGCCTCATGTTATGTAATATTTATTTGTGTTGCAGGAAAACCCCCCCCCTTCCCCATATAACAATTAAGAATGAAAAAGAAAGAAGTATATTATTCTTACCTAATCACCTGTTTGTTATAATTATATTCTCTATAGACTCTGTTCCCAAAAAGGGTACATAACTTACTAACATATTTAAAAAGATTTTATTTCAATTACTAAACCTGCTTCCAATAAGAATTCAATTGCCATGTTAATGGTAGGCCTGCATATAAAATTTAAGTTCTCAAAGCAATAAATGCTTACTATTTTGCAATCATTGAGCTGAAACTAAACTGCTTCTAATAAGTATTCAATTGTCATGTCAATAATAGGCCTACAAATAAAATTTGAGTTCTCAAATAAATAAAAAGCTTACTATTTGGCAGAGTCATTGAGCTGATACTCATTAGCACGACCTAAGCACTCCTGCACACCAGAGTCAACCCACAATCTTTTCATGGCTGCAAGCAACTCCTCTGAGAATGGCTCTGTGTCCTCCATTCTAGCTATAACATCTAAGACCATCTTAGCGTCAGACTGAAAAAAAGTAGCATCAGGGTTGAGTAAGTGCTTGAAGTAAGAAGAAATTTAAAAGTTGCATTAGGAAGAAATAAGAACTTTTATGTTAAGATTTTGATGGTGACATGATAGTTTTTGTCTAAGAATTATGTGTAAGGTTATGGTGAGACTTTAGCAAGATTGGATGATAGAATGCATGAATGCTAACCCAAAAGTCTTGAGTTTGGATCACGTAGGACATCCCTGAGTCCACCCAGCTCTGATGGGTACCTGATTCACTTAGGGTAAGTAAAGGTGGTTTGGTATAGTGCTGACAAAAGTATTTTTTCTTATGACGAGTTAACAGAAACAGATAAACTCTGTTTCATTCGACCCATGAATTGCCAGTTTCAAAAAAGTGACCACCATATTGGCTAAGCCAATTCAAAAAATTAAACTTTTTCATCACAATTCTACCACTGACTTAAGTAAAAAGGTCAAGGAGGTTATAGCAATGCACCATACCCTTGTAGCAGATTCTAGATATAGATTATGTTGTTTAAAAAATAGCTACGGAAGTCCATACAACTTAAGCAGTAAGTAACATTCGGTATCTTTATTAATTAGAGTGAAAAATTGTGTTAAGATTTTTTGTATTGCCTTAGTTTTTTTTTTAATTAGCTAAGAGTGGGATGTTTAGGGGGAGAGGGGGCTATAAATTTTAACAATATAAGCTGAATATTTTTAAAAAATACAAAAACAACAAGTCTAGGCCTTAAAAAAATTTTGTTGCACTGTGATTTAACATAATTATATAGATCTGTTGTTAAACAACTTTCAAAATCATAATCATTGCATTCCATTAATCTATAAAAAAATTTATCATTACTCGGTTCATTTTTTACACATAACAAATATGCCTAAAAGCTCAATATTTAAAAAAAAACACCTTTTATTCTTTTATTATTGATGGATTTGGAAATAACCTACATACAGATAGCCCTAGATCTATTTGTCTACCAGTCCAATAATAGGCAATTCTCTTTTTTTTAAACTCACTAGCAGAACTATGAAGTAAGCCTAGAGATGTTGCACTGCAGCCAGGGGCGGAACTACAGTGCCGCCAGACCCCGCAATGCGGGGGGGGGGGGGGCAGGCCGTTTAGGGCAGTGTTTCTTCCAAACTTTTTTCTCCGGGGGGGCACTTGAAATCTTCGGGGGGGCGGTAAACTTTCTTCGGGGGGGGGGCGGACACTGTTAAAAGTATATATTTTCTATATAAATTATGTAAATTTCATTTCGTTCGGGGGGGCGGTAAAAAATTTTCGGGGGGGCTTCGCCCCCCCCGAAGAGATGCCTGGAAGAAACTCTGGTTTAGGGGCCCACAGCCGACCATAAACATTTTTTTTATAGTTAAAAAGAATAATTTTCTTGTAAAAAAACAGATCTACTACAGTAGTGATGTTCTGCAGTAGCTAACACACGAGCGGACTCACTCTTGTTTTCCTTTTCTTTCTTTTTTTTTTTTAAATCAGGGCGGTGGCGTTTTCTAGTTAGAAATCTGCAATAGCATTTATGGTACAGGTGACCTGTCGATAATCTCCCAGCAGTGAAATAAAAATCTACTGCTCTGTCGTGTGGCTTTGCAGCCATATTTAAAATATTTTGTTTCTACACAGCCGCGGTATTCGTGTGTGTTTGGAAAGGGATTGTCATGAAAATACTTCATTAAAGCGTGGACAAAAGCACAGTGTGTAGCTAACCGACCTACAAGGTAAAAAGCCCCCCTCAAAACATGCAGTACAAGTAGACTATATATATACTATATAGGCCTAGACTTCATAAAATTTAGGATTATATTTCAAAATTTAAAAAGATCTTCGTAGGCCTATTTAGCCGATTAAATGACCAGTATAGAAAATAATTATGTGTGCTATGGCATTTAAAAAAATTTAAATTGCGACACAGGGAAAAAGAATATATTTATCATTCATACGCTATTATAACAAGCAGTAATGCATAATTTAGAATACTAGATGCCAGATGCTGGTAGATAAAAATTATAGAGAGCTAGATTTACCATATGGCGCCCATACGATTATTAGAGTTGGTTATGCCCAGTGTTTCTTCCAGACTTTTTTCTCCGGGGGGGGGGGGGGTGCACATGAAATTTTCGGGGTGGGGGGTGGACAACAATTTTCGGGGGGGGGGGGGGGGGGGGCGGTAGACTTTCTTCGGGGGGGGCCCTCCCCGAAGAGATGCCTGGAAGAAGCTCTGGTTATGCCCCCCCCCCCCCCCCCCGTTCACCTATCATCACACGTCGTTACATAAAAACTACATGAAGGCATCGTAAAATTCATCCCACCCCTTCAAATAACTAGCCATCAAATCTAGAGTAAAATTAACACTATTTTTAATTATTTCATTTTTTATAAATGCAAAGTATGGACCTATACCACGTCACATCCCCCGTTCTTCCCCAGACACACATTACCACCACACTTCGCACATTATCATCTTAATTCGCCTATCGTCAAGTATATAATCCTCTCCCCTTCCAAAATGCATGACGTCATTTATTTATGGCCTGCTGTGGCGATGTGTGGCAGGTGACAGTGTTCAGTCAATTTACCAACACAAATTTTTTTCCTTGTTTCAGTTTCTAGTCTGTTTTATTACTTCTAACAATGGTTCTCAAAGCATGTCTTAAAGTGGGACGACTGCTAGATATATAATACACACTATTAGGATACCATCCCTTCATAACCCGAGGTCAGAGAAACTGGTCAACTCTACCTCACTTGCCCCATGGACCGTCAGGTTCGAAAGTGTACTTTTATATACATGGATAAACTAACAACTTTCCCTTAACAAAATAAAATGAAAGCTAGGATTGAAAGTATCTTAAAAAGTCCACTGGACATTTAACATTTTAAATTGCATACTTTGTTTGCTAATTTGTTTGTAACAGAACTCAAATGTATTCGAAAACTATGATACGTTTAGGGCCCACCACAAAAAATAAACAAACACAACAACTTGGATCTGAATTTTGTAGTGAATTTGTTAGAAATCAGTCAATTGTGCTTAGTAGGGCAAGAAGAAAAATTCATATCTCAATAAACAGTTGTTATTATAGCATGAAAATTGCATGAACTATTAGGCCAAGCTTGATCTTTAGTTAGAATATCTTAGTGTTAGTTAGGAGCTAGCCGATATTATGGAAATCTACTTTAATTAGGTGTATTTGATTATATTTTTACAATATTTGCATGTTTGAAGTATTATTGTTTAAGAACAACTTATTGATGTTATATGTAAATTGTATCATTGTTAAGGGAATTGTCTGTGGTTTCAGGGGATAAGCTTATTAGAATTTTAGGAGATCGCGTTAAGTTTTTATATAGGATTATTTGGGTCGGTTAGCACAAAAGCGGGGGAAATTTTCACAGGTAAGCGCTAGAATTTGTCCTGAGAACAATGTGTCATCCAAGACGCTCGCAGGTGGGGTATAAAAGCAGGCGGCTTAGCCTTAGAGGGGATGGAGAAACGGCGGCTCTAGCCAGTAATTTATGCAGCACACGTATTTGCGCTATAGTCTTGTTAGATGCGCGCTACACAGACAATTCCCGCTCAAGAAAGATAGTAAAATAAGATTTGCAGAAGACTGCTTATTCTTCATTCTTGATCGTCTGTGACTGTGACTGAGAGTGAGAAATAGAAGAGAAGAAAAACGTTACAATTGATAGAAGCAAGAATATTACAATAGAAGTTCTATTAGAACAGCACATTTTTTCAAGCAGTAAAAACGTTACAATTTTTTATCAACAGACTTACCTTTTTTGGGTTGACTAAAGTAGGACCGTTATTCGTTACTACCAGAGACGTCGATAATAAGGTGGGATAAGGGGGGGGGGCGTACTTTATTATTTATACAATTAACATAGACCTAAATGGGGATGGCAAAACTGAAAGTCCGCCAGGGTGGATATGTTTGCAATCACGCGAGCTGGCGACAGAGGCGTAGCGACCCTTCCCGGCGCCCGGGGACAAATTTTCGATTTGCAACCCCCCCCCCCCCCCCCTCGAACTTTTCATGTGCACCCCCCTTAAACTTTCAATTTGGCGTCCCCCTAAGCTCGGCGCCCGGGGACATATGTCCCCCCACACCGCCCCCCCCCCCTCGCTACGCTACTGGCTGGCGAGTGCATACACGTTTGAAGAAGGTAAAATATCCTGTGCTCACCTCCCTTTCATTATCACCAAAAGGTAAGCTAAGTGTTCCCATAGCCCGAATGATGGCCACTAGTGACTGTATGGTGTTGCTGTATACCACAGGCTTGTATTGTTTGTTGTCTTCGCTGGTGAAGCCACCTTCGTGGATAATTCTGGAAGGAGAGAAGAAACATCGAGGTTAAATTTTATTTTAAAACAAAACAACAACATTGGTGCAATACAAACAAGATGCTCTCCTGTTCTGTAACATTGACAACATTGGTGCAATACAAACAAGATGCTCTCCTGTTCTGTAATACAAACAAGATGCTCTCCTGTTCTGTAACATTGACAACATTGGTGCAATACAAACAAGATGCTCTCCTGTTCTGTAACATTGACAACATTGGTGCAATACAAACAAGATGCTCTCCTGTTCTGTAACATTGACAACATTGGTGCAATACAAACAAGATGCTCTCCTGTTCTGTAACATTGACAACATTGGTGCAATACAAACAAGATGCTCTCCTGTTCTGTAACATTGACAACATTGGTGCAATACAAACAAGATGCTCTCCTGTTCTGTAACATTGACAACATTGGTGCAATACAAACAAGATGCTCTCCTGTTCTGTAACATTGACAGCATTGGTGCAATACAAACAAGATGCTCTCCTGTAACATTGACAACATTGGTGCAATACAAACAAGATGCTCTCCTGTTCTGTAACATTGACAGCATTGGTGCAATACAAACAAGATGCTCTCCTGTTCTGTAATACAAACAAGATGCTCTCCTGTTCTGTAACATTGACAACATTGGTGCAATACAAACAAGATGCTCTCCTGTTCTGTAACATTGACAGCATTGGTGCAATACAAACAAGATGCTCTCCTGTTCTGTAACATTGACAACATTGGTGCAATACAAACAAGATGCTCTCCTGTTCTGTAATACAAACAAGATGCTCTCCTGTTTTGTAACATTGACAACATTGGTGCAATACAAACAAGATGCTCTCCTGTTCTGTAACATTGACAACATTGGTGCAATACAAACAAAATGCTCTCCTGTTCTGTAACATTGACAGCATTGGTGCAATACAAACAAGATGCTCTCCTGTTCTGTAATACAAACAAGATGCTCTCCTGTTTTGTAACATTGACAACATTGGTGCAATACAAAGAAGATGCTCTCCTGTTCTGTAACATTGACAACATTGGTGCAATACAAACAAGATGCTCTCCTGTTCTGTAACATTGACAACATTGGTGCAATACAAACAAGATGCTCTCCTGTTCTGTAACATTGACAACATTGGTGCAATACAAACAAGATGCTCTCCTGTTCTGTAACATTGACAACATTGGTGCAATACAAACAAGATGCTCTCCTGTTCTGTAACATTGACAACATTGGTGCAATACAAACAAGATGCTCTCCTGTTCTGTAACATTGACAACATTGGTGCAATACAAACAAGATGCTCTCCTGTTCTGTAACATTGACAACATTGGTGCAATACAAACAAGATGCTCTCCTGTTCTGTAACATTGACAGCATTGGTGCAATACAAACAAGATGCTCTCCTGTAACATTGACAACATTGGTGCAATACAAACAAGATGCTCTCCTGTTCTGTAACATTGACAGCATTGGTGCAATACAAACAAGATGCTCTCCTGTTCTGTAATACAAACAAGATGCTCTCCTGTTCTGTAACATTGACAGCATTGGTGCAATACAAACAAGATGCTCTCCTGTTCTGTAACATTGACAACATTGGTGCAATACAAACAAGATGCTCTCCTGTTCTGTAATACAAACAAGATGCTCTCCTGTTCTGTAACATCGACAACATTGGTGCAATACAAACAAGATGCTCTCCTGTTCTGTAACATTGACAACATTGGTGCAATACAAACAAGATGCTCTCCTGTAACATTGACAACATTGGTGCAATACAAACAAGATGCTCTCCTGTTCTGTAACATTGACAACATTGGTGCAATACAAACAAAGATTCTCTCCTGTAACATTGACAACATTGGTGCAATACAAACAAGATGCTCTCCTGTTCTGTAACATTGACAACATTGGTGCAATACAAAGATTCTCTCCTGTTATGTAACATTAACAACATTGGTGCAATACAAACAAGATGCTCTCCTGTTCTGTAACATTGACAACATTGGTGCAATACAAACAAGATGCTCTCCTGTTCTGTAACATTGACAACATTGGTGCAATACAAACAAGATGCTCTCCTGTTCTGTAACATTGACAACATTGGTGCAATACAAACAAGATGCTCTCCTGTTCTGTAACATTGACAACATTGGTGCAATACAAACAAGATGCTCTCCTGTTCTGTAACATTGACAACATTGGTGCAGTACAAACAAGATGCTCTCCTGTTCTGTAACATTGACAACATTGGTGCAATACAAACAAAATGCTCTCCTGTAACATTGACAACATTGGTGCAATACAAACAAGATGCTCTCCTGTTCTGTAAAGTGTGTATGTATGTATGTATGTGTGTGTGTGTGTGTGCTGCACATTACATTATATCAATAACCAGTACATACAATCCATATATAAACTGCACCGTACTTATACTAATAAGCTGTACCCTGCATGTAACTTGAAAAAATCCATATCTGGCCTTCAGCAGAATGTGTACTGCAAGGAGCTAAGGTGAATCCACATGTCGTGAATGTTTTTTACTACACATATTACACCAAGAACAGTCGCTTACAGTCGTGCAGGACAGAGACAGGGCTACTGCTAGTGTACAAAAATAGAAGGTGAGTACTTACTTCATTTGCTTGACGACGGTACTTTTTCCAGATTCACCAGCACCTGTAATCAGAAAGGTGAAACAATAGGTCAAGTTTACTTTAAACTGTAACAGGTGAGGTGGGGGGGGGGTTCGAGACGAAAATGTAAGACAAAGCGGTATCATGTAGTGTTTCTTTCAGGCATCTGTGTGTGGGGTAGGGGGATGTTACTAACAGTTTATTTCCTGCATCTCTTCGGGGTGTGCTTAGGGAATCATTGCCCTACCTCCAGAATCACGTCCACTGCCCCCCCCCTCCCCTGGACAAAATAGTAAAGATGTATATAGAAAATATATACTTTTTAACCAGTGTCCGACCCCCGGAAATTTAAGTGCGCTCCTTGAAAGTTTCAAGTGACTCCTGGAGAAAAATTACTGAAAGAAACACTGAATGTACTTTCCCACTTCCCGATATGGTAACAAGAGTGTGTGTGGGGGATGGGGGGAGGCTAGGAAACAAAACTAAGACACTACGCGGATCGTTGCAAGGCATCTAGCAGTTTACAGAGGTTCTGGAGTTGGGGGGGGGGGATATTAGTTGCAAGTTTGGTAATTAGGCTTTAACCCGGAAATTGTTAGCGGTAACCAATCCATCTGATCAGATTATTTAATACATAAATATATAGGCTGAGACATATTTTTAAAGCGACCACAGAAATTACTCTGTGATGTGATGAAACGGGATGTGTATGTGTGTGTGTGTGTTACTGGTCAGTGTGTAGGCCGTCTATAAAGCTACAAACACTGCTGTAAGAGGTTAGAATCTATTGTCATTTTCAGTTGTGAAAAAAGGGGTGGGGGGTAATTCTGTATCAAAGAGTTTAGAACCAGCTGCTGTGGGGTAAATATGAGATGAAATTTCTTTTTATTGTCGATTCGATTACATAATAGTAGTATATTATAATTATGTCACTTTTGGAGCGAATTCTCGGCGGAGGAGCGGATGCGGATGCGCAAAGGTTATATAGTAAAATACTCGGATGCGGATGCGCAGCCTGCCGCAAAGACATATAGTAAAATACTCCGAGCATGGCGCAGAGGGATGTGGAGGAGCGGATGCGGATGCGCAAAGACATATAGTAAAATACTACGCCAACTGGCGTTGGCGGAGGAGCGGAGGAGTGAAGGGTGGGTCACCTTCGGTGACCTTGTGACGTAATCTCCGGTGACCTTGTGACGTAATCAGTGACCTTGTGACGTAATTAATGAGCTTGTGACGTAATCAGTGACCTAGTTACGTAATTTTAATGAGTTTTTAAATTAGTTTTAATGAATTTTTAAAATTTTAATTAATTTTTATTAACGAGTTACGTAATTTGATTATTTGTTTACTTTTTATTTTGTTTATTTTTAATTTTATTTTATAATTAGTTTGAATTTTTATTGACTAGTTATGTAATTTAATTACTTTGATTGTATTTTGTTTGTTTATTTTTAATTATTTTTTAATTTTAATTTTTAATTAGTTTGAATTTAATTTAATTACTTTGTTTATATTGTGACCTTGTGACGTAATTAATGAGCTTGTGACGTAATCAGTGACCTAGTTATTAATTACCAGATCCTATGCTGTGGTCGCGTTTTTGTCAGTCATCACAAGAACCTGCACAGCTCGAGGAAGCACAAAAGAAAAATTTATTTTCTACTTTTTAGTCCACAAGAAAAACGTGTTTTTTTTTAAAGTTTTTTTAAGTATTTTTTTATTCTTAACTCAGCTTCGCGTTTGTTTGTTTGTTTGTTGTTAAAATTGACATCGAAAATTAGCCCACTTCTGATTGCTCTAGAGATCTGAAATTTGAAATGCAGGCTATTTTCGCCTAACAATTTCAGATGCAATCATAAAAACTAGCAATTAGAGACCTAAATTAGCTTAATTAAATTACGCCCCAAGGACCATAAAATCGAGGACATGATTTCTAAACATACCGACAAGACTGGAGACCTATTGACACAGTTACTCCGGCCCCAATCGATGTGGTTAGTTGTTAGTACTTCGCGTTGTGGCCGCGACAACCCAGGTTCGAATCCTGTTTAATAAAAAAAATTCGAATCTCTGTTTAAAGCGTATCGGTCGCTCAAGATTTTTTTAGTCCGTGTATTTATAAACACTTAGTCAAGTCATACTTAATCAAGTCATTAGATAAAGTAGAAAATAAACTATATAAAAACTTTTTAAAAACCACGTTTTTCATGTGTAGCAACGGACTAAAAAGGGAGAAAATAAAATACTTTAAAAAACTTTTTAAAAAACCACGTTTTTCTTGTGGACTAAAAAGTAGAAAATAAATTTTTCTTTTGTGCTTCCTCGAGCTGTGCAGGTTCTTGTGATGACTGACAAAAAAACGTGGGTCGGGCAGATGGGTCGGGAAATTTGATGGTGAACGTACCCACAAAACAAAAATTTATTTTCTACTTTTTAGTCCACAAGAAAAACGTGGTTTTTTAAAACGTTTTTTTAAGTATTTTATTCTGGGTGCATTCATCGCATAATGGAGCTATATAAAAAGTGTTATAACCAGTTATATATAGCGAGGGAAAGCTACCACCCCACCCCAACCCCTACACTATATCCCACCCCAAAGCCAAGTACACACACACACACACACTAAATCAAACACTAAAATAAGAATAGTCTAGCCTTAAGTTAGGCCTACTAGTACAGACCTATTTATGTCTGATAACATTTACTCAATATAATTTATTTAATCTCTTATATTACGTAAAAGATGTATGTAGAGAAAAAATAAAGTCAACATCGTTCTAATTTCAACCAATACTTAAATTAAGGCTTTAAAATAATTTCGCATTTTTACTGTCGTTCTTATAACTTGACTAGAATTTACTCCTTGTGGAGCATAAGGCTTCAACCATAACCTTCCATTTTGTCCGATCCCCGGCTGTTGGTCCAATAACTGTAATGCTGAAAGCATGCATCCGTGTTGTGGTCTTCAGACTTTAGTTGACCATTTTTTAACACCCCCCCCCCCCATCGTAATAATAATAATCAACACGGAATCTTGGGACTCTGTTTTGACACACACTAAGTGCAGCAATTTCGTTCATAGTTTTTAGTTAGATACATTCGTAAAATGTGAGATTACAGGATTATCATGGGCACAGATTCGAGGAGCAGTCCAAAACCGAGTCCGCTGGAGATGTGTGGTTGCAGCTCTTTGCTCCCCAGGGGCCACAAAGGAGTGATGATGATGATGATGATGATAACATAAAGAACATTCAATCTCGATACTGCTTTAAAAGGTTTTCTTTTTCTCATCCCATTCCACAAGCACTCTATTATGAGCCTCTATTCAGTTACCATTCAACTAGCATCAACTGTATTTTGTCACTAAATGATTTTTCTAAATATACATGTGTGTGTGTGCATGTGTGTGTGTGTGTTCAAGGAATAAGATTCCGGATCAATTTTGGTGACGTTAGAAATAAGGTAAACCACAGAGTCGGTGTGTTTAACACAGATCATGTCAGAACTCCATTGTTATGTAAACAAGCATTGGCTGGAAGGGGGGGGGGGGAGACACCCGCGGCGTTCAACATTCGCGAAGTCATTAGCTCCTACCGGCGTGTACTAGCGGGCTTACTCTGACATTTCCTATTTCAATGGAGAGGCAATCATAGCTCACACACACACACACATATATATATATAAATATATATATATATATATATATATATATATATATATATATATATATATATATATATATATATATATATATATATATCGTGGTCGGGTCAGTAAAGCTGTTGGTTCCTAAACCGGATAGTCCCGAGTTCGAACCACCGGGCCAACACCACTATCAAACAACTCCTGCCTTGAAGTTTGTTCATGGTTGGACAAAGGCTATTGAAGCTAATCCGAAAATAAAAGCAGGCTGAAATCGGAGTCAACGGCCTATATGGCGCCCGGGGACAAGCTTTCGATTTACACACCCCTCCCCCCCCCCCTTTCAAACTGCAAAAAATGCAGCTAAAATGACATTTTAATTTGTTTTTACAACCCATTTTGGCGCCCACTAAGGTCGGCGTCCGGGGAAGTATGTCGTCCCCCCCTTTCCCCCCCCCCCTCACCATCGCTACGTCTCTGATATGGTGCATAACAAGTTGACATGTAATACGTAACTGTGTTGGAGGAAATCTTTTCCAATATTACAATTAAGAATGAAGAAGAAGAAAGAAGGAGGCAGCACCACAAAGAAAAATTGTAACAGTTACATTACCCCCTATGGTCAAAGCACCTAATTGACCACAGGTGCTTTGACCATAGGGGGTTTGACCATAGGGGGTTTGACCACAGCGGAGCTTTGACAATAGGACCATGTAGCGGGCGGGTCTAGCCTGACCCTTGCCCTTCCGGATGAACGACCGACAGGACTAGTACTCAGTGAAGGGACCACTATCTTGGTGCCTTGAGTTTTTTTTAGGAAGCACAGAGACGCAAGATTAATGTTATTGTACATTGTTTTTTTGCATTCAAGCTTATAGGCTTGGTGTGAGAGATGGGTGCATGTTTTATTTTAAGATTGTTATATGCATTTTGTCTTACAGGGTCTGTAAGATTTTAAAAAGGGGTGAATGTGAGCGGGTGAATGGATTATTTATTTTGTATTAATATATTTGTTGCGAATCTGCGAGTGCATGGTGGTCCTATGGGGATCAGACACGGGGTCCCCTTCCGTCCGAAGCGGACAGTATAAATTAACCGGTCGGACGATTTTCTCCCTCTTTTTGACCCACGGCGAGATGTAGGTCGGGTCAGGTTTCTGCGTGGCGCACCGCACACGTGGAGGTATTTGTTTTTTTATACTTTATCTTTATGTGATTTGTATGAATGCGACTGTCGATGTTTCTCGTTTTCTTTCATTTTCGTCTAAAACGAGATAGTGAGCATCGGCATGTCTGGTATGCACGTGGTGTGTTATTCTGTTATTTTGAATTAAAATGTATTTTTGGTGTTTTCTAAACCCGTGGCGTGTTTCGGACCACGTGGTTTAGGCCAGTATGT